GTAATAGGGAGATAAAAGCATTTTATTTAGATTTGAACCAAACATTTTTTGTCCATTAGCCAAATTAAAAAAAAAAAGCACAAATTCACCAAGCAATGCTACTGGCGCTACTAGCAATATGATGCTAGGTTCTTTTGTTACACTTTATTTTTATGCCCCCGCCATAGCAAAGGGGGCATTAAGTTTTACCCTTGTCCGACTGTACGAACGTACGTACGTACGTCCTAAAATTGGTTTCCATTCTCTAACTTTAGTTTGCCTCAACCAAATGTTATGAAACTTATACGCAATGCTTATTACCACAAAACACAGATCAAGTTTGAATTTTGGTAGCGTCACTTTTACCGTTCTAGAGTTATGCCCCTTTAAAAATGGAAAAATTGTTGAATTTTTCGTTTCCGTTCTCTAATTTTAGTATGCCTCAACCAAATGTTATGAAACTTATACCCAATGCTTATTACCACAAAACACAGATCAAGTTTGAATTTTGGTGAACCGTTCTTGAGTTGTGCCCCTTTATAAATGGAAAAGTTGCTAAATTTTTATTTTCTTCTAAATATCAAGTAATTTTAAAATTGGAGTTATCTTCCTTTGTCCATGATTATAGTTGAATCAACTACAATCAATGCTTTATACAATGCAATGTTTAATTTTGACTTCCACTGATAAAATACAGATCAAGTTGAATTTGGGTAGGGTCACTTTAACCATTATTGAGTTATGCCCCTTTATAAATCGAAAGATTGCTAAATTTATAGTTTCCATTCTGTAACTTAAGTTTGCCCCAACCAAACATTATGAAACCTATACACAATATTCATTACCACAAAACTAAGATCAAGTACAAATTTTTTGTTTCCGTTTTCTAACTTTAGTTTGCCACAACCAAATGTTATGAAACTTATACACAATGCTTATTACTACATAATAAAGATTAAGTACGAAATTTGGTGGCGACACTTTTACCATTCTTGAGTTATGTCCCTTTATAAACATTAAAATTGCTGAATTTTTCGTTTCCGTTCTCTAACTTTAGTTTGTTTCAACCAAATGTTATAAAACTTATACACAACCGTTTTAGAGTTATGCGTGTTTACAAATAGAAAAATTGCTGAATTTTGAGTTTCTGTTCTCTACTTAAATTAACCTCAACCTAATGTTATGAGACTTACACACAATGCTTATTACCACAAAACTCCGATCAAGTTCAAATTTGGGTAGCGTCACTTTTACCGTTCTTCAGTTATGTCCCTTTATAACTATAGGATATGCAAGCGGGGGCATCATCTGTGTCCACATGTGGACACTATCCACATTTTTTTTTACATCTGTACTGCCTACTGGCTACTCAGTCCTGAGTGTGAATGGTCATTCAGTATGTTAAGAAAAAGACCAAAATTTATAAGGCCTATCTGGCCTAATTGATTTCTAAAATATATTTCATTGTACATGTTCAACATTTATCATTCATTTGTTTATTTCTTAATTTGTGTGAATTAACAGTAAATGTTAATTACTACACTTTCTTACCATAACAAAACTGCCTTACTGTATTGGTATCACTTATAATTTGTATCCATATAACAAAAAAAACTGAAAAGAGAATACTTTTGCAATAGCTTTTTCATATTGAATACTAAAACTTTTTAGATATTTAGACATATTAAGTAGATGTTCATAATATCCACTTGACATTTTATCATATGATTACTGTAGTTAGTTATGAGTCTTTGAAGCATGCTCACAAAGGTTCTTTTGTTAATATCATTTTCATACTGGTCAAAACTTTTTTTTGCTTTGACCAGCTTTGGAGGAGATATTTTCATAGAATTAATAAAAAATAACATAGAAATTCACGTTCTAGCTCATCTAGCCCCAATCATCATGTCAGGCATTGTCATTACTAAAAAACATTAAATGTCTTCTAAACTGAGAAACAATTTCCACATTTAACCGAAATCTTTTACTTATGATACTGACAATCCCCCACAAAGTAATATAAATAGAACTATACAAATAGTAAGCAAATACATGTTCTCAGATACCATCTCCCATATAAAAAAATCACATTAAGAAAAAAATGAACCTATTATGTGTTCCTCCCCTAGCTACAAAATGTATCCAAAATCAAAGATGTGGAACATATATATTCTATCATAATCATTTGGTAATTAATGCAATTAGTATCTCTTCCATGCCCATGTTGAACATAAAAAACTAAATATTACATAAACAACACCCCTAATGCTCATTTTGGTTGTCATTGTGCAACACAGTTAATACATAGAAAACATAAAACATAGAACTCCTTTTGTCATATAAAACACTGTCAAACATCCAATCATACTATCCACACTGATCTGTGTCCACACTTGTATTATCATAATATACTATCATAACAAAAAAGTAAAAAATGACAAAATTAAGTTATTTGGCTACTGTCTGATATGAACAAGATGAATCAAAGTACTAAGTACTGAACATCGGATGGCTACAAGTTCTTGTGGATGATCACAAGCACCGTTGTCTCAGAAAAAAAATCACATCTCTATACTAAAAGTGAGGTTAATGTACAGATATATTTTTTTTTCTGAGACAAGTTCGTGCGTGGATGATAAATAAATGTCAGGGAGTTCAACCTCATCGTAATAACTATTATATTGTAGTGATACAAATCAGTATACTCTGGTTTGTTGTTATATATTATATTCATATTTGTATATTACAGTTACATGTTTATATAATTTTCATCCATTTGTATATTATTCTATTCTACTATAAGTAACAGTGCAGTGCAAGTGCATGGTGGGCACTCTTCTGTAATAATTCGATTTTTTCTAATAGATTGGAATTGAGTAGGCATTCATATTTTCCACGCCAAACGTTCAATCTCCCATGCAGAGTTATCGGTCCTTAAGAGAGAGCAAAGACCGATAACTCTGCATGGGAGATTGCAAACGTTCTTGAGATATTCTTCCGCATGCGTTAACACACTTTTTCTGTGCATAGATATTAAAGATTTTTTACTTATATATATATTTTCTAATGACAAAACCTTTTCATATTATTAATTTATGTTCTTAAAAAAATATTTTTAGGAGTATCCATTGAAAAAATGAATTTATAACAAACGATAAGGAATGTTATCTTGCACTCGATAATGTCCGCATATTTATCATGTTTATAGATTGGTTACAATCCCAACACGAAAGTTACGTAATGGAAATCTAGGCGACAGCAATACACCAGAATGCCCTCACGGTCATCCGATGTAAAAACTGTAATTAAAGCACTGTTCCTCAGCTATTGTTTATGTACATGCTGTGAATTTGGGTCATGATTTGATACACCATATCCTTTCTTGTAAATCACAACTTTGAATATTTTAAAACTTGAAATAAGATTGTGATCTTGAATCTTAACCTAATGGCAGCTATGAAAATGTTCCAATTAACTTCCAACCATATAAAACAATACTTTGTTTGCAACAAAACATTAAAAAAAATTCTTATCCAGCACCAAATTTGCATTTTAAGATATTGGGTAATCAGTATAAAAAGATCTTTGAAAACAAAACAAAAATGCCCTGAATTATTTAGTAATGCTGTAAAAATGATATTTGACCTAGTGAAATCAAATTCAGCATGGTTTTATTTTTTTTCAACAACAATGGGAATTTCTTTTCTGGCATTCCAATAACATCCTTCAATTTATGATCAATGGGTTGGTACCTAAGTTTGTGTTAAGACTGTATTTATGATTCAAAAAGATATCATTAGTCCGAACAAGTATGAAATATTTGCCTGTGGACGGTAAGCAAACATAAATCAACCAATCAAAAGAAATCACTAAAAAAAAACAACATCTTAATCTAATTATTGCCAAAAGAGATACCTAGAAACTACAGTTTTAGTACACAAAATTACAGACACAATTCATAATATTATAAATAAAGTGGGAGAAGTTCTCAATACTGCTTTAAATAAACAGCAGAGACCAAAACATGTGATATGCTCATCAACAAAACAGCAATTAACTAAGAATACCATCTAATTCAAATGGGACCTTGCTGACTGCACTTTAATCTTTATTAAATTTTCATGAAAAAAAATCAGTCAAGGTCAATAATTGGTATCATTCGTGATGTGGATGAAACTATACTGTAATGGTTTTTAAAAGTCGAATAACAAATTCAATAAACAGCAGTGCCACGAGCGCATGATACACCTGTCGTCTTGTGTGTGAGTTTTATGCAATAATCATAAATTGTTTCTGAGTTACCTCGCGACATGTGAAAACCCCCCTTTTTTTATAAAAAAATCAATAACTCTTAAATAAAATTTTGAATCATCACCAAAAAGTATACAGATCTTTAGATTAATATAATTAAGAAGTGTGTAAAGTTTTAAGCAATAATCATAACTCGTTTTTGAGATAAATGTGAAATGTGACATGTGAAAATAAAAACACCCCCTGTTTTAGTTACAAAGTCCCGTAACTCAAAAAGTTTTCACCAAAAAGTATACAGATCGTTTGAGCATCATAAGAAACAACTATGTTAAGTTTCATGAAATTTGGATTAGTCGTTCTCAAGTTACGGTGCAACATGTGGACGCCAGACAGACGGACAGAGGGACAGACAGATCGACGGACGCCAGACTTACGTCCCGTCAAAATTTTGTTCATATTTGTCTACTTTTCAGAGCATTGTTTGGTCAGTTGTTCGTCTTTTCACTTTTTTCTTTGGCCATAGAATTGTCTTTTCTTCTTACAATATTGCCATATAGTTATTTGGTATCTTATTAATTCTGATATCCAAAACAATATTTCTAACAACAGTCAGAATTATAATGAAGCTTCCTTCCATCAATACAGAACAGACCAACAGTAATTTCAATGGTCACATATAGAAAAGGCATATATAAATATGTGTCCTTTAGAGGTAATCTTTATAAAATCAGAACATTATTCATGGGTTTTTTAATAAAGTTTGATCTTACCTCCATACAATTCACAAACACACAGAATTAACTGCACATAATGACGATAAAACTTCTTCTTCAAAATGGCATAGATCAAAATTACACATAGTGGCCCATCCAAAAATACTGTTAATATTTCTAAAGATACAATGGTTGGGTCTGCCACACCCCATCTTTTGTCAGCTTGAGCATATTCTTTCCCTGGAAACATTCAACAATACATTTTAAGGTCTAATCAATGATTTTCCCTAACATTGGCATATTAATTATTGAACACAATCATGATTCATCTCACTCATAAAACAAAATATTGACATTAATTTTTACCTATAAAAACATGTGATGCACATTTTGGCTAGGAGAATAAAATAGGAGGGGGCACAGCAAACCAACATTTAGAGTGATATTTGTAAAAATCTATGCATTTATCATATATGTATACATAAGGGGGCATGGGTCCTAGGTCCCCCTAAATCTGCCTCTGCTTTTATCTATAAGAAGTTAACAGTTACTGCTAAGTCATATTTATTGATTTTTAAAATGTATCCAATACAGGACTATTCCACCAAGGTCTAGTTCCAATAAGCCTAGTAATAATGTAAAAAGAAATTGTATTAGTAATCCCAATGTATTACTTTTTTGGTAAATAAAGACTGCTTTTTCATCCTGATATTAAATATAACATTGTAAATTTAATCATGATTGCTTTTATGGTACTAAGTAATCTTATTTATTGAGCAAACAAATATCAGAACTGTCTTTCAAAGGTTTCTTTTTGGCTTAAATATACTTTAATTGATGATGGGTATAATTAAATAGTAGTTAATAAATGATTGTGTCTTGCATTTTTTTTTTAATTATCAATTTGATTATAATCTGAAATGAGACAAAAAATCAATTTTATCTATCAAATACTTTTGAAATTTTGTATAAAGGAGTAGGGACATTAAGGCCTGTTTTGGCCCAAGAAAATAAAGTTTACAGGATCAGCTATTTATTTGCACACAATTTTGTTAGGAAATACATATTATCAAGAAATATAAATGAAATACACAAGATTTTTAATGTTATGATGTCACCTATATATCATCGTACACACTTATCTTTTATGAAAACAAAGAAAACTGCTGAACTTATGCAGTTTCTTATCCATATTTCCTTTGCTTAAACATTGTGCTCAGCCTAGAGAACAAAACTAAATTTGAGTGAATCTTTATTCAAGTATTTACATAATTCCAACCCAAACATCAAGTTGTTTCTTGAGTGTGCAAATACTTTTTCAATCCAAAATATACTTAAAAGGTTATGTAAATCAAAGAAATTATATACAAATTTTGTCATGGTTTGTTTCCATGGCAATTTGTTATATGTTAAATCATGACAATATTTGTGCATACATGAAAGGCATCAAGCTTATATGTGACTACACACTCAAAGCTCTGTATGCCCTTTTAAATAAAGGAGACTAGCTTGGAAATTTTCAAAATCAATTTAAAATTACACTATAAATACCAAAATTGCAAGAAAGTGTTTAGCTTATACTTACACAGGGAAGCAGAGAAATGATCTGACTCTTTGATTGTACCATAAAGAGATAATAAAACAAAAGGACCTTCCTGAAAATACAATAAACATTTTTTTGTTATTTTCATGAAGTTTACTGGTACACATGTACTACAACTATTACTGTTTTTAAAATGTGTCATTTCTACTTAGAATTAGACTTATCACCAGGTTTGTACTTACATGAGCAACACAACATGTGCCACATGTGGAGCAGAATCTGCTTACCTTTCCGGATAACCTAAGAATCTTTTATGCATAGATTATTCACATGACAAGTATTGGCTTTCAAAAAAGCTTGTCTGACTTTAGCATATCTTTCAAATGTGAGAGAAGTGTTACCAACAGGTATGGCAAGTTCTTGTATAGGTTTTGGACTACAGAAAAGGAGGTGCTAACATTGTATTTAAGTGGAAGCTATCTATTGCTTTAAAAATTCAGTATGTAATATGGAATCATGTGAAAGCAATACAGAAACAGGTACAGGGGAAAGTGTTCAAAATTTTCTAACATAAACAAATGTACAAAAAAATAAATAAATTATACATTGTATATGTCTGATGAAAAAGATTAGCCCATAGGAAAAACCAGAACACCTATGAATTGGTACCAAATCTTTTCATCTTTTTAATTCTGGTGATCAAGATATTACCTCCTTTCCATGGTTCATATAATAAAAATTTGCAAAAAATGTAAAACCCCAAAAATTGTTTCAGTAGTTTTTGTCTTGCCATTGTTTTGTACCTTTGCTACAATTTATCTGCAACAGTAACTATTTGAATGGATGAAACTACCAAATCCAATTACCCCAAATTTTCAATATAATCAGATTTCAGACAGTCATCTTTTTAGTAAAATTGAAATGGATGTCTGCTAATTGAAACTTATGTTTATTAGTGTGACATCAGACTGATGAAAATAGAATGCAAAATAAGAACAATATTCAAATTATTAGCTGTGAGACAGTAAGCTCTTTAGAAATAGAACAGCTTAACCTGTCCAATAACAAGCTAATTAATGGCTTATCAATAAGCAATAACAAGCTTGTTAGAAAGGCAACTACTTGTCTAATTACAAGTTTTTTTAAAAAGCTACTAGTTTTCTAGTTGCAAGCTTTTTAGAAAGCTATAAATTCCATAAATAACTTTTTTAACTTTTTAGAAAAGCTATTACTTTTTCATTGAATAACTCTCATATACTAACTGTTTATTTAATCCCTTACTTTGTACTATGTACATATAAAAAGTTTGAAAAGGTTGCACTACTTCTATTTTAATTAAAAATCAAAATATAATTTCTTGTTGAGAAAAAAATACAGTTTCATGGATTTTGATATTTGGTAATAATTTATGTACCATTTTTGTGTCAATGCTAAATATATGGCTACAGGGATGGAAATTAAAATTTTCAAGTGGTAGCCCACTCAATATTTTTAGTGGTCAAGTTTTTATGTAATGCATACTATATGATCAGGCACCAGCTCAAATAATTTTTACAAGAATGGTATAAATACAACATTTCCAAGATAACTATGAATTACTGACGGTGACTGGGTAATTGGCACTCGCCCAGTAATTCTTTTATTCTGAGGGTACACAACTTACAAAGGTAAAGTGTATAAGTGCATCGAAAACAAGCCAGGTAATAATCCATTTTTCAGTCTGGTGTTTCCTTCGTCCCAAATAAAAACCTAGGAAAACACTAAGCCCCAGATAAACTGCTGTTGCACTTAGAGATAGAATTGTAACTGTGTTTATCAAGCTGGAATTTGCTGTCATCTTTTACTAAATATTAGTTTGGGAACAAGTTTAAAAGGAATCGGTGCAGGTTTTCTTTCGACCTTTCCATATGCTTTCGTGGTCAAATTTAAACTTAAATTTCTGAAGAGTAAAAATCGGCCCATACAGACTTCGTCCCAAAATAGATTGGAAGATACTAATGAAATGCCTAAATTTGAGCAGAATATGACAATGGTTACATGATAAAACATAATATACTGTAATCAACATGACTTCATTGATTGAATACATTTACAACATACCTTCAATGATTCTATAGTCGGATACTTTTAAAATCCTTCAATATAATACAATGAGTACAATGCAATATTGTAACATCTCATCTTTTACAAACAAATACATCACACATTGATTTCTAGAAAAAAAAAATATTGGAGTGAGAAGGGAAGGTGGTATTTCTGTTTACTGTAAACCTTCTATTTATAACGGTATTGTTGTAGAAAAAATATTAACAAATGGTATTGTTTTAGTGAAACTAACAAAATAATTTTTTCATATGCATGATGATATTTATATATGTTTTGTTTATATACCACATGAAAGATCGTCATTTTATTCACTTAATGATTGTGACTTTTTCAATTGTATTGAGAGTATTTTTTTAGAATATTGTAACAAGGGTAGCGTATTTGTGTTTGGCGATTTAAATAGTCGCACTGATTTAATTAATGACATTTTACATTCTGATAATCTAGATAGGTACATTGATGGTCTGTGGCATCATGAAATTCCCAATATCCCAACTCGTTGTTCGATGGATACTATCGCTAACCGCTTCGGTAAATTACTTATGCAATTGTGTTACAACACTGGTCTAACGATTTGCAATGGAAGATTTGGAAATGATCGAGATGCTTTATCGCCTCTTCTTTTTTATATTTTTCATAAATGACATTGCTGAGGGGCTTGAAACAAATAACAACGACGACTACGTTAGTGTAAATGGTATTTTGATTCATCTTCTACTTTTTGCTGACGATACAGTTTTATTCGGTAAAACACCAGCGGCACTACAGCTACTTCTTGATAAACTTCAAAAATATTGTTTAAAATGGAACATTAAAGTGAATAAAGATCAAACTGAATAATTGTATTCCGTAATTAATGGATGGCAAAAAATTAATCATAGTTGGTATTATGACCAACACGAGCTTAATGTTGTGAACTCTTTTGTTTACCTAGGGAATCTATTTCACTACAACGAAACATTTCAGCAAACCCAAAAAGAGATTATCCCAACAGGTAGTAAAGCTCTTGCGTCACTCTTTACTTTATTTAAGATGTTATGATATATCAACTCAACAGAAATGTGAAATGTTCGTTAGCCTTGTTGGGTCGATCTTGAGCTATGGTTCTGAGATATGGGGTTTCCATCATGCCAAAGACATTCAATTAGTTTATAATAAATTTTGTAGATTTGTACTTAAAGTCGGTCAAAATTCACATGTATGTGCTCTTATTGGGGATCTTGGTCATTTACCAATGCATATTATTAGAAAACAAAGAATACTTAAATATTGGTTAAAAATTGTTATCAAGAAACCTATTGTATTTGATGTACTAGTATAAAATGTTAGTTGATGATGCCGAGAATGGTAAATAAAACTGGGCGTCAAATGTTTGTACCTTGTTAATTGATCTTGGTTATAATTCTTTATGATATAATCAAGAAAATGTAATATTTTCATATGATGTTTTGAAAATACGCCTGTATGACCAGTTCATACAAAGCTGGCGTTCTAGTATGTTAGATTGTGAAAAATTAAATGTTTTGAAAACAGACTTTTGTTTGGAAAAATATTTACTTCCTGATGTCAATGTTATACTCTTAACACAACTTAGATGTGGTTCACTAAAACTCAACATCGAAACTGGAAGATATAACAACATACCTCGTACTGAAAGACTATGTCAATGTTGCAATATGAAAACCATTTAAAATGAATATCATTTTGTAATGATCTGTCCAGCCTATAGACATTTACGACTAAGATGTTTGCCTAAATATTTTTGTTCTTGGCCTAATATGTAAAAAATTTTATCGCTATTTTACTCAATTTTCCTTTGATCTTGCTGACTGATAATTTCCTTTCTCATCGGAGTCTAGTGATATGAAAAATTATCGCTAGAAACTCAGGGAGCACGTGCCCGTTGTCAATGAAATTAACAACATCGCCATAGGTAAAATAGTGATAAACAGATTATCATATTGGTCATCTCAACTCGATTGCTTTTCTCACTTTCGCCGTAACGGCTCAAGCGAGAAAATCAATCTCGTTGAGATGATCAACGATAATCTATAAGTATCACTTATTCAAACATGTTCAAAAACTTTAGTGTATAAACTTTGTTGTTTGTTAAATGAAAATTGGAAACTACGGTCACAATTGATAAAGTAGATTATCGCTATTTTACGAAATTTTCCTTTGATCTTGCTGACTGATAATTTCCTTTCTCAGCGGAGTCGAATGATATGAAAACGGAGTCGATTGATATGAAAATTATCGCTAGAAACTGAGAGAACACGTGCCGTTGTCAAGGAAATTAACAACGTCTTCATAGGTAAAATAGCGATAAACAGATTATCATTGGTCATCTCAACTCGATTGTTTCGAGAAAAGCAATCTCGTTGAGATAGCCAACGATAATCTATAATTGTAAGGTATTAATTGTATTATATTTTTTTGCTTTTTGTTTTCATATATATTTTGTCGCTTACTATATTATGTATGTTATTAATGCTATAGCATTTTCTTTTATGCTGATTGCAATAAACTTATTACAATAAAAAAAATATTAAAAATATGTGAAAGCCATTCATATAGAATTACGAGAGACGATTATTTACACATATGAAATAAATGAACCAAAACATTTAAAAACATAAAAGGAAAAGAGAGAGAAAACAAATTATATATAAGATAAGATAAGATAATCTTTATTTCAGACTCAAAAGGTCTATATACATACATGAAACAAAATATTCCGTCTAAACAGAATACAGTGTTAAAATATTTACAGCATTAACTATAATTAAGAATTTAGGTATACAATATACAATAATACAATACAATATTTTTATTTTTCCAAATTAAAGGGCCCATTAAGAGCATAACATTAATAACAACATGACATAAACATTACAGAGTGATTAAAGGTGGTATAACTCATTGTACCATACTCTTAACAATGTTGAAGAATACAATAAATCACTTCTGAGAATTGTATTAACCAGCTGATTTTCAGATAATGTCAAGTATATACAACTATACGACAATTATCTACATGTATAAAAATATGGAGATGTGGTATGATTGCCAATGAGACAACTATCCACTTTAGTTCAAATGAATTGGGTTTACATATATAATGCGATGACCATCATGTCTATCTAAAATGTCTCTGCAGGCTTTGACACACACACATGGATATTGCTTACTCCACCTAGAATCACATTAAGCTTATCTTGACTAGAACCATCACACTGATTAAGTTATTAAAGGGGCATCAGCTACGAAGTTGAATAATACTCAATATGTTTTTTTTCCCAGACACTTATAAAAGCGGAATTATGAAATTATATTTCGCTATTACTAGTAGGCATTCTTGGTTCAATTTTGTTAAAATTAGATCAAAACATCGATGATGTATTATTGGCTTTCAAGTAAATAATTCAACTCATTTTAATCCGTATTCATGCGAACTTCAATTTAACCCTCCACTGTGATGTGCTATACGCATGGGCTAAGCATGTTTTAAAAGTTATATTTAGAAAGAAAAGAATGTCAACATTGAAAAGTGAAACAAGGCAGGCATCGGTAAGTTCCTTTTCGTTGACTGATTCTGTGATGGTTTACATATCTTTATTATATGACATGAAACCAATCAGACCTAGAAAAAAATCGTCGTTATACGATCCACGTGATTGTCTTTGTATTTATGTTTGCGTCAGATCATATGACCTACGGAATTCCTCGGAAATCATCTCGATGGTCTATTCTAAAATACACGCACATTTCCTTTATAAGATTTTCTATAAATTATATGAGATATCTTATAAAATATATGAGATTTATAATATATCTTATATAGTTTATAAGATATCTCATATGATATCTTATAAAAACAAGATTATAAAAGATATCTTATATATTATATGAGATATCTTATATACTGTATGAGATATCTTATATATTATATGAGATATCTTGAATTTGGAATATAAATAGTAAAACGGCTTGCCATACGAATCGGTGAACATGAATTTGACAGCTTAAACCCTTTTAAAACAACTGTCTCTCATATCATCATAAAGTAAAAGTACATGCTTTTCATCCTCAATGGAATTCAGACAGCAAAAACAAATTCTTTCTTGTTCTCGTAAATTTTCATATTCTTAATATGACTATTAGTTTCACATTTATACATCACATATTTGACTTAATTTGAAAACTGTTCTTTATTGAGCATACCGTACTTTTCATTCGCACAAGATAAATAAAATTTCATAGGGTGATAATAAATTTTCATCTGTAACTGGAAATTCTGATTAAAAATATATTTTGTTCGTTTGAGTTGGTTTTAAACCCCTTAACTCGATATTCATTGATTCAATTTCAGAATCCCAAACTGTTTCCCCATTTGAATTATATACCAATAAATGCAAAAATGTCTGCAGTTTCTTGCAATAATTATAAAATATGTGTTTGACCTTGTTATTATGTCTCTGCATTGACATGCCATAAAGACATTTCATATAACCATCAAATACTGTGCACGGTGACATGTATGAGTTTAACAGTAAACATTTCATCAAAATCGGCCATGAAATAAGTTCTTGACAATGATTTCTGACTATTTGGAAAGTACATACGTATATTGTCTATTCACTGTCCTGCCATGCAGATCTCATTAAACCCAGTAGTCCACTTCTGTGCGAGTCTCTATCTGACCTCATGTCCTGCTAAAACTAGATCTCATTAAAGCCATTAGTCCACTTATGTGTGAGTCTCTGTCTGACCTCATGTCTTGCTCATCTTATACATCATTAATGCTATTATTCCACTTCTGTGCGAGTCTGACCTCCACATGGAATAATTGCTGACTTTGAACTGGCTATGCAAGAACTCAATTTTCGCATTGCTAGATATCATTTCTTAATATACTTGGTCGTTTTACAATTTATCATTCTTTTATTTTGTCTATTCTAAATTACTGTCCATTCACCTGGCATTTCTGTAGTAAAAAAACAAGACACGATTAAGATGGAAAAAAATAAGAAAGAGCATATAGATTTGTTGATGAAAATTATGATAGCTCATATGAAAATAGTTTGCATATTAAAAACTTCCACCCCTTTTAGTCAGAAGATTACGAGTAATATAGCTGTAGAAACTTTTAAAATGATAGGCAAAAGAGTCCATGATTCGTACTTGCATTATTTGATTAATGACAAAAATTACAAATATTCATTTAGACATAGAAATACAGCTGAATAGCCCCGCAGGTTCGAACAAATATCTATGGCATCAAATTCCTTTCGATACACAGCTGCACAAATTTGGAAATGACTTCCCCCAGAGTTTTAAAGAACAAAACAATTTTGATCAATTTTCTAAAGTTATTGTTACTTGGAATGAAAGTTCATGCCAATGCAATGCCTGCAGATAATTAATGCTTTCATATGTAGTGGTTTTTTCTGTTTTATTTGCTTTAACTGTTTTTGTACTTTTATAATGATTTTATACTGTACTCTGATTATTTTTGCATAGTATGACGTAAAAACATTGTTCATGTCATTTATATAGTATATGTATGCTTTATTTCAAACATTGTCCTTGCCATTTATATAGTATATGTATGCTTTATTTCAAACATTGTTCATGTCATTTATATAGTATATGTATGCTTTATTTCAAACATTGTTCATGTTATTTATATAGTATATGTATGCTTTATTTCAAATATTGATCATGTCATTTATATAGTAAATGTATGCTTTATTTCATGCTTTGCTTTGAGTATGTAAAATTGTTGTTCTTGTGTGATTGTTATGGTTGGCAACTTGCTTTGATTTCAAATGTTTTGTTTGTAATAATAAGATTTCAAAAACTCAAGAGACTTTGTGTTTTCCGTATACTAAAACTCGTCTTTAAATAGAGTTTTGAATTATCAATCTTAATTTGGTTTGAATAATATTTCATTCAATGAAAAATCATGCTTATTAGTATAAAAATGATGACATACAAAATTAGGAATACTATGAACATGGTCTATCAACTGGAATAAAGTAAGAATGATAAATACAAAATAAGTTTGATTGTATTGTAGTTTGAGAAAAAAAATCTAAAGTGAATGAAATAAACCAGATGAAATGCAAGGAAAGCATACAATCTGATTAAAATTCAACTCTATCACAACTCCATTTTCACAACTCGTGTGCTTGCATTATGAGTGGATAACGAAACCATGCAGAGATATAGATTTTAATTAGATTGAGAAAGCATACACTTGAAGTTTTCGTATTATGGTGTGAACCTTTTACTTTTCAATATATAATTATTTACCAATGCGAAAAGTGTACTATTTTCTTCATGAGTTAAGCAAGTAAAATAGCGAAGGGTAAGGGAACATGGGAATGAGGGGGCGGGAAGCGGGAGTCAGGGGAGGGAAGTGGGAATCAAGGGAGGGAAGCGGGAGTCAGGGCGGGAACTAGTGGAAGAAGGAGAGTAAAAATACGGATATTCTGGGGAAAAAATTTTGACCGATTTTCGTCTGGGAGTAAAGGGGAGGGACGGTGGGAATCGGGGATCCCCCTGTCCACCCCATGGGAAACCATCGAGAGAATAAATTAGCATTTGGGGCATTTTTATTAACGTTCCTAAGTATACTAGTACAATTAAGAAATTTAATAAAAAATAGATATGTTGTCAATAAGAAAACCAAGCATTGTACTAGTATAATTAGGAACGTTAATAAAAATGCCCCAAATGCTAATTTATTCTCTCGATGGTTTCCCATTTTGTCGGAACTGCATTTAAAAAAAATCGGTTCAGAATGTTTTTACAAAAAACGACTTTACAGAGAATGCGGTATACACACTAACCTCTGTTTAAGTAATTTTCGTAAATTCAGATAAAACAGCATTTCCCTGGCCTTTTAAAATTAAACTTTTTCCGCGGCACTAGAAACTTATAAAAATTTTGATTGATTTTGTTGTATTTCGCTTCGTATAGTTTTATATAATTTTGTATCGTTTTGTTTCGCTCAGTTTTTATTTGGTTTGGAACGTAATAGGTCCTAGGTCGGGCGGATTTTGATAGTAATTTTTACAATTAAAAATTCTTGCAATGATTAAATTTTCATTCTATTTCCTATTTCGTAAGAATTAAAATGTTTTGAACTACTCGTCTTTTTCATAGAAATAATTGAGGACGAAGTCCTCATATATAACAGCTGGGAACAGTATATCTACTATATATATATATATATATGTTCCTGATAACAGTAATAAAATCAATGCCGGTAATTATAAAAAAAAAACATGTCGGATAGGATATGCCGCTAGTCAATATTCTGCAATGGTCGAGGAAAAATCCATAAAAATTGCAGTTGTTTTAAAAAAAAAAACAGTTTATACAACAACTGTGCGGTCCATACAATTTCCTCAGAGAAAATTTCAAGTTATATGGGCCGAGGTGACCATACTTGTTCTAAACGTTTACACGATGTAGAGAAAAAAGCTAGAAGTTAACTTTGTATAATTTTTGATGAGTATAGATTGAATTTAACAGTTTGAATATGTGAAATTAATAGTTTATAGATACTTTTAAACATTTACTATAGCTCTTTCCGGTTAACATTTGTGCAATTTTTAAGAGAAGTAGAAAAAAAAATTCTAGCTTTCTTGATGTAAACTAAAATTTGATTGGTCAATATTTATAGAAAATTTAACAAAATTTGAGTCTTTTTGGTGAATGTGCATGTTTATGAAAATAATATGAATTTAGAATATTCTTTTTTTGAAAGTTATACATATAAGTTATGTCAATTATCTTTAGTTTTTGACGTGACCGATAATTTTCCGTTAAAATTCAGAATTACGTCAAAATACCCGATTGGCCAATGAGATCGTCTCTTACACAAGGTCAGGTAATGATTCACAGACTAAGGCCGGCATTTTGATTTTCATTGAAAGTTATTTTATACATTTTAAATCATAAAATTGAAAAAAATGACTGAGAATCTTGAACAAAAGGGTAGATCTCAACAGTTCAAAAACAAAGGAAAGGATGCTGAGGTAAGATTTTTGGCTGATAGATTTCAAATGTCCCTATGTGATCGCTTATTTTCTACTGTCTCCTATTATTTTGAGAACATGTGCTTTTTGCAAAACACATTAATTAGTGCATAAGAATTTACTATCATTTTCGGTGTTGTGAAAATTAAATCGGTTGTATAAGAATACACAAGACCATTATAAATTATATATAATCGTCTCCTACACAGTACATTGTACCCATTGGAGGAAAAAAAAGAAGGGGAAGAATATATACATAAATTTATTATTCTTTTTTGGTACAGAACCATGATTGATGGATCACTGAAATCCTATCAAATGTACTCTGTGTTGCAGCTAGAAACTTAGGGCAGAAGGCACAGTCTTAAATTACGGGGGCTTCAAGTTTGAATTTTGGTGGCGTCACTTTAACCTTTCTAGAGTTGTGCCCTTTATAAGTGGAAAAATTGCTGAATTTTTTAGTTTGTGTTCTCTAACTTTAGTTTGCCTCAACCAAATATTATGAAACTTATACACAATGCTTATAAACGTATTTACACTTTTGGTATTTAGCTATATTTTGCCTCCGAATGACCTTAGATCTACTCCGAATAACCTTTTGACGTCGGGCAACAATCACTTTTTAATTGTGACGTCAAATGTTTTGAATTATGATGTCAAAGTTTACGGGAACCTGTGTGATTTTACGTAATGGCGGACAAATTTGCATACAAGTGTAAATACGTCTATTACCAGACAACACAGATCCAGTTTGAATTTTGGTGGCGTCACTTTAACCGTTCTAGAGTTAAGCTCCTTTATAAATGGAAAAATTGCTGAATTTTTAGTTTCTGTTCTCTAACTTTAGTTTGCCTAAACCAGATGTTATGAAACTTATACACAATGCTTATTACCACAAAACACAGAACAAGTTTTAATTTCAGTAGTGTCACTTGAACTGTTTTAGAGTTATGCCCCTTTATCAATAGAAAAGTTGCTAAATTTTTGGTTTGTCTCTAACAAGTTTGCCTCAACCAAATTTTATGAAACTTATACACAATGCTCATTACCACAAAACACAGATCAAGTTTGAATTTTGGTGGTGTCACTTATACAAATCAGAGTTATGCCCCTTTACAAATGGAAAAATTGCTGAAGTTTTCGTTTCTGTTCTTTCACTTTAGTTTGCCTCAACCAAATGTTATGAAACTTATACACAATACTTATTACCACAAAACACAGATCAAGTTTGTATTTCAGTAGCGTCACTTTTACAGTTCTACAGTTATGCCCCTTTATAAATGGAAAGTTTCTGTTCTCTAACTTAAGTTTGCCTCAACCAAATGTTATGAATCTTATACACAATACTTATTACCACAAAATTAGGATGAATTCAAATTTGGGTAGAGTCACTTTTACCATTCTTCAGTTATGTCCCTTTATAACTTTATATGATATGCAAGCGGGGCATTCATCTGTGTCCCATGGACACATTCCCCATTTATTTATTTTATGTATTCAGGTCTCGACAGGGTATATAATGTGATATTCCTGGCTTGGAGTTTACATTCCAAGAGCTGAGGGTGATTTGATAGGTCATTAATGTTGGATTAAGTCTTAACTGGCAGGACAGTAATTCCTGCAGACTTCATCCATTATATTGTAATTTGATTTTAGGAATTGGGATCATTCCTGAAGACCATATAAATACAAAGTTCAGATTTTCTCATTGTAATATACATGTAATATGCATGATACTCCTTTAATACATGTATTTTAAATTTGTTTTTATTGTAGGAAATGCGTAGAAGAAGAACTGAAGTAACCATAGAATTAAGAAAGGTATTCATATTATTACTTTAAATGATGTTATTTAAGCTGAATTTGACCAACAGTTTATTTTTTCAATTTCAGAGCCCTGAAAATTTTCACACAATTAAAAATCTAGTTATTTCTAACAACTGGAAAATCCGATCACATTTCAAGTTTACTTGGGAGGTCTGAAAAGACTCAATTATAGAGTTATGAGACTTGACTGACAGATAAATGAAAGGCATTTGTTAAATATCATGCACTAACTCTAGTATGCTTGGATCAAACTATAAGTTAGGATTGGTGAATGTAGATTCCCTTTTGATTTTGAAAATTTTCTGGTTTGTCATTCCAGATTTATAGGACTTTCAACTGTCATATTTGAATATTTATACGCCTATAGGTATCTTCCTGCATGTTTTTCTACCGAGCCATTTTATTTGCTTCTAATCAAATGTCTTCTAGATATCCCATTGTCCTTTGCATCAATTTCAATATACACAATAAGGGTGTATTATGCGATCTTGGTGTAGCTGTTTATTTAATTGCTGGAAAATTGGAAATTCCATTTCCCTTTTTGGTGTTATTGTATGTGGCAATTTATCATATTCTTAATGCAGCATTTTTCATGCAGACTTTCTGTCCGTACATCATGAAACTACACACAAATTACTATCATATTGGAATTCATTGATGATTGAAAAGTAGTCTTCATTTGCTTCAAATTTGATGACCCCAAAGGAGATTCCGTATGCTAAAATATACAACATGTGACATCTGACTAGACACTTTACTCCTTATACTATCATTTTATTGCAGAACAAAAGAGAGCAACATGTTCTGAAAAGGAGAAATGTTCCTGCCCAGGATAGTACAGATTCTGACGAAATTGAAAAGTTACCAAATCAGTCATTAAAGACTATTGTTGAGAATGCCGCTAGCGAAGAACCAAATGTCCAGCTGAGTGCTGTTCAAGCAGCAAGGTATCTAGCCAGTCTGTGGCAAACTGTTCACAGAGCCTTCAGACCTTAGCTTATATCTAAATATTGAATGACAATGCAAGATCTCAAAATGATGTTTTTTGTCGAGCCTGCGACTTTTGTTGCAAAGGCGAGACATAGCGATCCTACATTCCATCGGCGGCGTCCACAAATAATCACTCTGTGGTTAAAGTTTTTTGAAATTTTAATAACTTTCTCAAACTATCCTTGATTTCTACCAAACTTGGACAGAAGCTTGTTTATGATCCTAAGATAGTATCCAGAAGTAAATTTTGTAAAAAAAAAAATCCTATTTATCTGTATTTTACTTATAAATGGACTTAGTTTTTCTGCCAGTTAACATTACATTCACTCTGTGGTTACAGCTCTTCTATAAAAGCATGCAAAGCAAACCTTTGATCAACTTGCTTGCTATGTTTGTAAACAAAAGGTAGGTAGTCTGTTTCAGTCTGTTTACTATATACTGGAATTTGATTGGACAATAAATATTAACTTCATTGCATGTTAATTTTTATTGTCTAATCAAATTCCAGTATATACAAAACAGACTGAAACTCCGCCTACCTATTGTTTGCAAACATCCAAGCAAACATAGCAAGCAAGTTGATCAAAGGTTTGCTTTGCATGCTTTTAAGTTTTATAGAAGAGCTGTAAAGTTTTAAAGATTTTAATAACTTTCTTAAACTATCCTGGATTTCTACCAAACTTGGACAGAAGCTTGTTTATGATCAAAAGCTAGTATCTAGAAGAAAATTTTGTAAAAATTTATTTCCTGTTTTTTCGTATATAACTTATGAATGGACTTAGTTTTTCTTCCAGTTAACATTACATACAGTCACATACAGTCTGTATTTAAAGTTTTTAAAACATTTATTAGATTCATAAACCATTCTGGATTTTTACCAAACTTGGACAGAAGCTTCTTACAATCAAAAGATAGCTTCTATAGGAAAATTTTTAATAATTTTTTCCCCATTTTTGTTGAGCCTGTGACTAGCAGCAAAAGAAGGCGAGACACTGGGTTCCACGGAACCCTTACAAATTTTTTGAAGATTTAAATTCAAGGAGTTTGAAACCCAAACCCAAATATGTAGTGCATGATTCACAAATATAAGTATTGATATCTTGCAGGATAATGTCTTGCTAACATTTGAAAAGTTTTGTCGTGATTGAATTATATTACTTTTTGATTTTCAAATTCAAGGGACTAAACAATTGCTATATCATACCTTCTGCCTTACCTTTGTACATTTGAAACAGTTTGTAAAATATCAAAGTTGGAAGTTAGTAATAAAATCCAAATTGCAAGGATAAGTTTTTAAAAACAAGAATAGAATTTGACCTAATATATTAAAAAAAAAGAAAAATTAAAAATTAAAACAATACTTACAATTACATTTATTTTTTACAGGAAATTACTTTCAAGTGACAGAAATCCACCAATAGACGATTTGATTTCATCAGGAATTTTACCAATACTTGTTAATTGTTTATTGAAAGATGACCTGTAAGTTGTGAAAAATATCTGCTCGACACATTAAATTACATTACTGTTCTACACATTAAATTACATTACTGTTCTACACATTAAATTACATTTCTGCTCTACACATTAAATTACATTACTGTTCTACACATTAAATTACATTACTGTTCTACACATTAAAATACATTACTGTTCTACACATTAAATTACATTACTGTTCTACACATTTATTTACATAACTGTTCTACACATTTATTTACATAACTGTTCTACACATTTATTTACATAACTGTTCTGCACATTTCATTGCATTGCATTGCGGGAGACATGGAAATACTGGGCGTCTGTGTGTCCGTCCGTCCGGGCTTTGTTAGCACTCTCAAGTGTACAATTCTTGCCAGAAATTTATTAAACTGATATCATAGGTTTATATTAGCAATGTTATGGACCTTTTTTTTTTAAAAGAGTTATGCCCCTTGGAAATATTGATTATATGGAAAATTGCATTGTCAGCGCTCTCATGTGCAGTGATCGGGAAGGACGTGCGCCTTGCGCCAATTGCGCTTATCGACCAGAAATGGCGCATAGAGTGACAAATGTAAGCGCCCGCGTGGCGCATGATATTTTTCACTTCGTTTTGAAACGTTGAGATATCGTCAAATGGATTTCTGATCGTATTTCGTGCCGCCATTTGTGAGTACACAACTGTAGTGTTTACTCCAATGATAGGAGCACCTTTATATTTTTGGGACGTCTCGGGTATTTTCCTATTGTAATAATAGCAACATGCGGTATGACTGATTACCCAAAAAACGTAATTAACCATCATTCATGATATAATTTTTTATAAACAACTTAAAATTTGTGAAAATTGGCTAGCACAGGCGAGAATTCTTTTCTAATTATAATCTTTTATGTAAGCTTGCTAATATTTCGATTGAAAATCCAAAAGCCTTTTTATGAATAGCATAGTATTTGTCTCCATAAAAGGGGCTTAACTGTCCTTGTCATTTTTTTTTTGGTCTTTGGCTCGTTTTGACATTTTGTAAACATGCCTTCAGCGAATTGTTGTTGTGTCTTATCAATTAACGTTGCTCTCTACTGTTGTTCTTGTCATCGTGATGAAGTAATAATAATACAAGTGCAGAGGAAATGCCAGAAACTTCCTCTAATACGGAACGTCTGGAAATAAGTATGGTATCGACGAAGACCCAAATTTAATGTAAAAAAAAACATGAACATGAACAAGGGAACAGTACCAGTTTTAACATTGTAAATAAAGGTTATCGTAAATATTGCCCGGTTTGGAAGAAGTTATTGTATATTCATTGAAATTGAAATTATAAAATCACAGGAACAATATCCATGATATTAGTTAGAATCATACTTGTAAGTACAGTGAAATATACACTTTTTTAATTTTTGTTTTTATTGTAAACGAATGGCCCACTCATTTGACAACATGGCCCATTAATTCTAAAAATGGCCCATTGAATTAATTTTTGGGGGGCCCTGGGCCCATAGAGAAAAAATCCTTCCAGATCACTGCATGTGTACAAGTCTGGCCAGAATTATATGAAACTTATATCATAGGTTTATATCAGCAATGTCTTTGACACTTTCAAAAATATACTGATCAAATATTTTTAATGAGTTATGCCCCATGGAAATATTAATTCTAACGGAAATCACATTCTAATAGCTCTGAAGCCTTCATTTCTGTAAGATATTTATAAAAAGTTTTAAAGAACAAAAAAAAAGTGTTTTTTTTTTTTTAGTAATGGCCCTTTTACCTTGGATAGAAATAATATGTGCAACGCGGGGGACAATGGAACTCTGTTCTTTTATTATATTTTAAAAAATAGCATGATATAAACTATATTTTGGCAAAATATACAAGAATTATGTGATTTGATGTGTATACCCCTTATTACTTTAAAGTAACTAAAATTACTCTGGAATAAGGTAGGTTTTAATAATGGATTTCTTTGTTGTTTTCAGTCCATCTTTGCAGTTTGAAGCAGCATGGGCTCTTACAAACATAGCATCAGGAACATCACGGCAGACTCAAGCTGTAGTTAATGCTGGTAGGTATCAGCACTTACAGTCCAGTTTTTGTAGTCAGTAATATTTTAAAAGAAAAACACTTTTTACAAAATTGAAATCTTTGTTGATAGAGGGGTTTTTGAGAAATACACTAACTTTAAAGTGACATTGTGCAGACGTTAATAGGGATTGTTAGGGAACTTATATTGTAACAACATTCTGTATTCAGTTGTTACTCTGTACCTCAATGTGGCTAATTTAATACAAATATAAATTTTTCAACTTTTATTTCCTTCACTTTTATTATGGTGTGGTGACTGCTGGAAAATATCATCTTTACAACTTGTGTTTCCTTCACAATATCAGAGCACCATAATATTGTGAAGGAAATCAAAGTTGAAAGATGTATATTTGAATTACGTAAACCACATTGAGGTTCTGTTTTTAATTAAAAAAAAAAAATTCTCTCCTCTCAGCTTAAAGGGTAAAAATTACAGAAAATTTAGATGACAGCATAAAAAGGATTAAGGCAAAGTTAGTGAAACCTTCGACCACAAGTCAACATATAATATTCAACAATAGTTAAGTGTTTGTACAATATGTCAATCTCTAAATCCCCCAAGTCTAGACAAATGTAAATAAATTAACCTTAAATAATCCAACAACAGTTTAACCTTTATCAGAATTCAAAATGAAAAAGATTTCCATTACTTTGGTGTCATTTTAAAATGTTATCTATGAAATTTGCTGGCCATGACAGTCTTCACGCTGAACCACAGGCCCAGCAGCCCAGGCTTGTAAAATTGCTCTCGGGCCTGTAAAAATCATATCTACAGGCCAACAGAATCTAACTAAAATTTTCCAAAAATTGAGCTCCGGGCCTGTAGATTTTAAAGTTCATCGTGAAGACTGCCATGATGATGTTCATTAGTCAAGTACTACATATGAACTTGTGTGGTTTAGCAAAGACACTGTTGATCTGATTTACATCTATACCTTTTGAAGATTACATGGCACATATTGGGGCTATTGATCTCTGCCTGTTAAAAGTAAGAAAAATTGAAAATAACGTTTAAAATCTTGTTGACTGATCTATGTTTTATTTCAGGTGCAGTTCCATTATTTCTAAGACTTTTATCATCACCACATCAAAATGTATGTGAACAGGCTGTATGGGCTCTAGGAAATATAATAGGTAATCTAGTACTAACATCACTGTTTAATTGACCTTCAAAACGGGAATACCTTAAACAAAATAATGTTATTATACCTTACATATATAATAAACAATTCTATTGGGTAATTTATTCATGTGACATAAAATTATTTGGTTAATTAAGTCTCCCAAACGAAGTTTGGGAAGACTTATTGTTTTTGCTCAGTTATTATTATTATTCTTCTTCTTCTTCTTCTTCTTCTTTTTCCGCCGCTTTTAAATTTGAACTTGTCCGCACCCGTTCTCCAAAACCGCTTGTCAGATTAACTTAGGGTTTCACAATATGTTAGACTAACATGTCTAGTGGTGCAATCAGGGTTTTGTTTGTGCAATGGGGTTTATAAAGGGGTACTTTGAGGGGCAAAAAGAAAAGAGGGTTTTACTATAGAACCCTATGGGATTTTATTTTTTTAAATTTTCAAATGATTATAAATTGAAAACCGTTTGTGATAGACACAATCTTTTTAATTGAAAATGTTCTAAATGATAAAGCCCATTAAATGAAATACAGCGTTAGTCCCCAGGGGTCACCCCCACCCCCTGCCATTTAAGAAAGTTCTAATACCTTGTAAGTGGTCAAGATCCCCACCCCTAAACCATATATATTTTGGTTTGTTATGCTAAGATGGTTTGAATGATATACAGGATTAGTCCCTAGGGGTCATTCCGACCCCCTGCCATTTGAGAAAGTTCTAATATCTTGTAAATGGTCGAGATCCCCACCCCTAAACCATATATATTCTGGTTTGTCATGATAAAGCACATCAAATGTAATAAAGGGTTAGTCCCCAGGGGTCACCCCCACCCCCTGCCATTTAAGAAAGTTCTAATATCTTCTAAGTGGTCAAGATCCCCACCCCTAAACCATATATATTCTGGTTTGTCATACTAAGATGGTTTGAATGATATACAGGGTTAGTTCCCAGGGGTCATCCCGACCCCCTGCCATTTGAGAAAGTTCTAATAACTTGTAAATGGTCGAGATCCCCACCCCTAAACCATATATATTCTGGTTTGTCATGATAAAGCACATCAAATGAAATACAGGGTTAGTCCCCAGGGGTCACCCCCACCCCCTGCCATTTAAGAAAGTTCTAATATCTTCTAAGTGGTCAAGATCCCCACCCCTAAACCATATATATTCTGGTTTGTCATGCTAAGATGGTTTGAATGATATACAGGGTTAGTTCCCAGGGGTCATCCCGACCCCCTGCCATTTGAGAAAGTTCTAATATCTTGTAAATGGTCGAGATCCCCACCCCTAAACCATATATATTCTGGTTTATCATGATAAAGCACATCAAATGTAATACAGGGTTAGTCCCCAGGGGTCACCCCCACCCCCTGCCATTTAAGAAAGTTCTAATATCTAAGTGGTTGAGACCCCCACACCTAAACCATATATATTCTGGTTTGTCATGATAAAGCACATCAACGAAATACAGGGTTAGTCCCCACGGGTCACCCCCACCCCCTGCCATTTAAGAAAGTTCTAATATCTTGTAAGTGGTCAAGATCCCCACCCCTAAACCATATATATTCTGGTTTGTCATGCTAAGATGGTTTGAATGATATACAGGGTTAGTCCCCAGGGGTCATCCCGACCCCCTGCCATTTGAGAAAGTTCTAATATCTTGTAAATGGTCGAGATCCCCACCCCCCTAAACCATATATATTCTGGTTTGTCATGATAAAGCACATCAAATGAAATACAGGGTTAGTCCCCAGGGGTCACCCCCACCCCCTGCCCATTTAAGAAAGTTCTAATATCTAAGTGGTCAAGATCCCCACCCCTAAACCATACATATTCTGGTTTGTCATGCGAAGATGGTTTGAATGATATACAGGGTTAGTCCCCAGGGGTCATCCCGACCCCCTGCCATTTGAGAAAGTTCTAATATCTTGTAAACGGTCGAGATCCCCACCCCTAAACCATATATATTCCTATTTGTCATGTCTCGAACATTTGAATGACGTATACCGTCAGTCCCCAGGGGTTCCCCCCACCCCCAATGTTCTTATATCTTGTAAATGGTTGAGATCCCCTCCCCTAAACCATATTTATTCCTGTTCGTCATGTAATGAACATTTGAATGACGTATAGGGCCAGTCCCCAGGGGTTCCTCCCCACCCCCAATGTTCTAGTATCTTGTAAATGGTCGAGATCCCCACCCCTAAACCATATATATTCTGGTTTGTCATGCCAAGATGATTTGAATGATATACAAGGTTAGTCCCCAGGCATCACTAATGCATATAACTTTACTGGACCAAACCAATTTTCACTGGACATTGCCCAATGTCAGGTGACCCTGGGAATTACGAATTATGGGAGCTTCGTTTGGGAGACTTCGTAACAGCATCCTGTTACAATCATTTCTTGTTTTCATTGAGATGCAAGGAATGGCGAATAAGCCTTAAAATTAACTATGAGAGATGAATAACTCTATTAATCACAGTTGAATAACCTTTTGAGCCTTTTGATTTATACATGAGTTATCTCTCAAAATGATGTCACAACATATGTAAACAAAATGGCAATGGCAGGTTAGAAGTCCATCGAGTGACAAGGAAACAAGGTTGAAAATTTCATTTATTGCAGAGGTTTGCCTTTCCAAATTGTACTTTTTGGGGCTATCAATATTTTACTGAATAAGTTAACCATGGTTGTACATACAAGTCATTCTAAGACATAAAATAATTATCTAACATTCTTCAAATAGTTTCCTTAACGAAAGGGAGAAAAAATGTAAAATTGAAATATGTTTGAAATGAAATGGCAAGACTGCAGAAAAAAAAAGCTTTTAATTTGAATTCTTGAATATATATTACATCCAAAGTCTATTGTCAGCGAGACAATCTATAAAATTTTCTATTACAGGTGATGGACCTGAATGTAGAGACTATGTGATAAAAGAAGGTGCTGTGAAGCCACTACTGGCCTTTATAAATCCTAGTATTCCATTACCTTTCCTCAGAAATGTAGCATGGGTTATTGTTAATTTATGTAGAAATAAAGAGCCGCCTCCTCCATTGGAAACTATACAAGAAATTTTACCAGCTTTGAACCAGTTAATACACCACACAGATATAAATGTGAGTAGTTTAACATTCTAAAATGAGGTTCTTCAAACGCTTTAGTACACACCTGTGGTAAAATATGAAGATATTGTATGTCAGCTGATTTGAATCATCCTGATTTATTTGGGCTGTACCAACCATATTCCTGTCATATACTTTTTATGAATGAGTTGCCCTAGGTTAATCAGTGTATAATTGATTTCATTGAACCATCTACTTTAACTAAGAAGTAGGAACATAAGCTTCGAACTGGAAACTGCTTAAATGTAAAAGTCATCAAAACATGGAACTTAAATAAAAAATGATACCAATTTGTCAAAAGACTATTTTTATGCCCTCGCCGTCACCAGAGGAGGCATTAAGTGTTACCCTTGTACGTCCGTCTGTCCATAGTACATCCCGAAACTGATTTCCGTTCTCTAACTTAAATTTGCCTATAGAAGACATTAATATGCATTGTCCTATTTAACACATGTTCATTTGTACACTCACATTGTAATAATCATGTGGTATTATTCTTCTTCAGATTTTAGTTGATACAGTATGGGCATTATCCTACTTAACACATGTTGATTTGTACACACACATTGTAATAATCATGTGGTATTATTCTTCTTCAGATTTTAGTTGATACAGTATGGGCATTATCCTATTTAACGGATGGTGGTAATGAACAGATACAGATGGTGATAGATTCAAGCGTTGTCCCGTTTTTAGTTCCTTTATTAAGTCATCCTGATGTAAAAGTACAGGTAAAAAAATTTCACTGCAAGATTACTCAGTAAATTTGACAGCCTGACAAAACAGGCTAACTCACATTCAACAATGAATTAGCAGGATATAATAAACAAAATAAAGGATAAGGTTCACTTTTGGCAAAATATGGCCTTGTATTTTAATTTTACCATATAATATCAAAAAGGCCAATATCTGGTTATTAAACAGATCTTTTTCAAAAGCCTGAATGCTAGGTTAATCTAATCTATTCTTAATAATACATAACAGACTTCAAAATGAGCATAATTTGGAGATATTGTAAAAAAATCAATGATTTGGGGCATTTTTCAGAAATAAAAGCTTTAGGAAAATCTATGATCCTAAATGTTCTGTTACTTACATGAACTAAGGTTAAAATTGAATCCCTAGACAAACATTTTCCAGTTCATGGATGGTGGCCAAAGCAAATTATGCTAAAACTGTTATAAATTACAAAAAAAAATTGGACCAAACTGATGTTACAGCACAAATAAAGCATATTTGTGGCTTCATAACATCGAAATTTATATTGTGAGGTGCCAAAAAGAAATTATTTTGTATTAATACTAAAATCACAACTATTTCTATGAGAATTTGAAACATCTTGGCCTGATTAAAAAAAAACCCACTAAAATCTGAGTACCAATTTTAGCCCTTCATAAATTGTTCCGTTAATTTTGTCTAGCACACTTATCAATTTTATAAGTTTGTTCCAACAAATTATTTTTGTCTAACTTGTTATTCATGTGTACTGCCACTTCTCAGGAACTGATTGACATACTGCTGCATGTAAAATTTGATGTGCAGGGTCAACTCAAAATTTAAAATCTAAATTGTTGATAGCCTTTTCTGAAAAGTTATTAAACTATGAAGAAAATCAGCTGAACTTGATCAATAGAGTCTGTTAGTAGACAGTAACTACCTTTCAAGGACTTCAATGCTTTGATTTTAGGAAGAAGTGGCTCTAAGACACATAACTGGTTCTTTGCACTTTTCCGTGGAAAGACCTTTTGATTTTGTTCTGAATGTAACTTTTTATGCTCCTGCCGTAGGGGGGGGTGGGGGGGCATTAAGTTTTACCCTTGTCTGTCTGTACGTACGTAAGTCCCAAAATTGGTTTCCGGTCTCTAACTTGAGTTTGCCTCAACCAAATGTTATGAAACTTATACACAATGCTCATTACCACAAAACACAGACCAAGTTTGAATTTTGGTGGCGTCACTTTAACCGTTCTAGAGTTATGCCCCTTTGTAAATTTTTAGTTTCCGTTCAGCAATTCTCATGAAACTTTGGTGAATTGTTTATATCTATTGATGTAAGCTCCGTTTTGATTTTCATAAATTTCTAATATGACATTGAGAATTAATTGAACTTTATTTGTTTATAGTCTGACAACAGATTTACTAAGTATTGCGCAACAGCACAGTGTATTGCACAACAGCAAGAAATCTTTAATTGAATATAAATTCAATGCATATAACCAATTTCAAGTTTTTTGACTACATCGATTCAGAAACCTATAATATGTCAGATATTTAATTACAATCCAAATTCAGACATTGTATCAAGCTTGAATATTGCCCCAACTGTTCAGGGTTGGACCTCTGCGAGCGTTTCCGGTTGCACTCAGCGAAGCAGTTTATTTTGGCATGCAATGAATGAAGACTTGTGGTCAGTGATTAGACATTAGTTTACCTGTAAATGAATCAGAAAATTTATGCACTATAAATTCACGTGCCGTCTGCATGACATCCTGATCTGGACTGAGAAATTAAAATCAACGACATAGACAATGCTCCCAAGTTCGTAAATAGAAGTGAAATCCTACAATCAAATTTCTAAACATGCTTTTTAACCCTTTGATATTTACAGATGCTACATGTACTCTTGGATGCACATATACAGTATTGATTCATGTATGATCTTTAAAATACTATATACAAGTTTTATTTATAAATAGAATGTTACATTTGACGACGTACTTTTTACATTTCTGTGTATTTGATGTTTAATCTTTTATAATATTTTGTTTACAGACAGCAGCACTTAGAGCTGTTGGTAATATTGTAACTGGTACGGACGAACAGACTCAAATAGTATTATCATGTGATGCTTTGTCACACTTTCCTTCATTACTTACACATCCTAAAGAAAAGATCAATAAGGTAAGTCTTCCTCTGTTGGCTGATTATCATGTGATGCTCTGTCACACTTTCCTTCATTACTTACACATCCTAAAGAAAAGATCAATAAGGTAAGTCTTCCTCTGTTGGCTAATTATCATGTGATGCTCTGTCACACTTTCCGTCATTAATCACACATCCTAAAGAAAAGATCAATAAGGTGAGTCTTCCTCTGTTGGCTAATTATCATGTGATGCTTTGTCACACTTTCCGTCATTACTTACACATCCTAAAGAAAAGATCAATAAGGTGAGTCTTCCTCTGTTGGCTAATTATCATGTGATGCTTTGTCACACTTTCCTTCATTACTTACACATCCTAAAGAAAAGATCAATAAGGTGAGTCTTCCTCTGTTGGCTAATTATCATTTGATGCTCTGTCACATTTTCTTTCGTTACTCAAACATCCTAAAGAAAAGATCAATAAGGTGAGTCTTCCTCTGTTGGCTAATTATCATGTGATGCTCTGTCACACTTTCCTTCTTTACTCACACATCCTAAAGAAAAGATCAATAAGGTGAGTCTTCCTCTGTTGGCTAATTATCATGTGATGCTCTGTCACACTTTCCTTCTTTACTCACACATCCTAAAGAAAAGATCAATAAAGTGAGTCTTACTCTAGTGGCTGATTATCATGTGATGCTCTGTCACATTTTCCTTCATTACTTACACATCCTAAAGAAAAGATCAATAAAGTGAGTCTTCCTCTGTTGGCTAATTATCATGTGAAGCTCTGTCACACTTTCCTTCATTACTTACACATCCTAAAGAAAAGATCAATAAGGTAAGCCTTCCTCTGTTGGCTGATACATTCAAGAGAAACTTTTGTAAGGGGAATTCTGCACACAGTTTTCCTTTCCTGTACTTGCATAGTTAAAACTAATACCATTCCCTTTATTTTTGACAAAAACTTCTAAGGATTAGTCTTATAAAGTGTTACCATAATTTATTATCCAGAGTTAACACATTGATAGTATTACTTATAAGGTGAAGTACAGAAGAAAAACAAAATTCATCTTTTAATTGAACTTAAATTTTTCTGGTCAGATTTACATAATAAATGAATAGGCTTAAAGAATCTTATTGACACCTTTGAACTCGTTCAGAAAAGGATGAGTCCAAGACTCTTATTGACACCTATGGACACGTTCAGAAAAGGATGAGTCCAAGACTGTAAGAATCCTCCATATCATTTGTTGGGAAATAGATATAAGAAGATGTGGTATGAGTGCCAATGAGGCAACTCTCCATCCAAGTCAAAAGTTTAGATACTAAATTGTGTTTTGTAACACATGGACTTATGTAATCAACATAACATAACAGGACTACACAAAGGGAGAATCAGTTTGAAATTCCTGTTTACTACAGCTCATACAAAAAACTTGGGTGAACTCTGGCAACAGCATATTAAGTTAAGACACCGAGCCTTGTAAAGAAAGATACTGTAAATTCAGAAATTATTGCATGTATTTATTATTGCGAATTTTGGAAAATGGAAATAAATACGAGATTTATTATTGACACTTCAGGAAAATTCTGCATACAGATATCAGAATGCGAGTTCTTCTTATTGCAATACTCGAACCAGTTGCATTAATAAAAACCTCACAATAATTTCTGAATTTACAGTAGTAAACGGGACAAAAGTAAAATCCTGGGAATACCTCGATTGTTACTGATATGATTAACAAACCCTGTAAAGATGTGTAGATACTAATGGAGATATTTTGTAATTGTAGGAAGCAGTATGGTTTTTATCTAACATCACAGCTGGAAACCAGACACAAGTTCAAGCTGTTATAGATGCTGGATTAATTCCATTAATAATTCATCATTTAGTTAGGGTAAGATACCAACCTTTATTGTTTACATCTTATGCTTTACTACTATCATCTCACCTTTTATGTATAGTATAATTATATAACAATTATTGAAGATATGTACTGAGATTTATGATGGCTGTTGTTTCACTGATATTTAGCCCACATCAAGTTAATAAACTATTTGGGTAAAGATCATCAATAAATCCAGACAACAGACGTACCTTGTTGAAATATATATATATACAATGATAAGAGTCTAAATATAGTGTAATTTAATCTAACAGAAAGCTTTATTTCTGACCATCAACAAATTTACCTTGACATTAATTATAATTATTTGCCTTGAACAACATTGCATTATTCATCAATGTTCTTTTGCAGGGTGACTTTCAAACAAAGAAAGAAGCAGCATGGGCTATAAGTAATTTAACTATAAGTGGAAGGAAAGAACAGGTTAGTATGACAATGTGTTGTTGACCATACAGGGAAAAAAAGGTTTTATACATCACATGGGAAACTCCATCCAAATGATCAATTTACTGCACAAAATATTACAACATGACAGTGGAACATATCTATCGTGTCATCAATATGAACATGACAGTGGATCATATCTATCTTGTCATCAATATGAACATGACAGTGGATCATATCTATTGTGTCATCAATATGAACATGACTGTGTATCGTGTCATCAATATGAACATGACAGTGGATCATATCTATCATGTCATCAATATGAACATGACAGTGGATCATATCTATCGTGTCATCAATATGAACATGACAGTGGATCATATCTATCGTGTCATCAATATGAACATGACAGTGGATCATATCTATCGTGTCATCAATATGAACATGACAGTGGATCATATCTATTGTGTCATCAATATGAACATGACCGTGTATCGTGTCATCAATATGAACATGACAGTGGATCATATCTATCATGTCATCAATATGAACATGACAGTGGATCATATATATCGTGTCATCAATATGAACATGACAGTGGATCATATCTATCGTGTCATCAATATGATGGTTTTATGTGTAATTGTTTATCAACTTGATACATATACCAATGCTAGTGAATCAAACGAAAATCAGTGTTTACCTAATATCATGAAAATGATAATAGACGGACAAACTTTGAAACAGCAACACCAAGATCTACTGATAATTCAATTGTTAATCAACACCATACAGGAGTCGTCACCCTAAGTCACAATTTTTACTAATTTTTTCTTTTTTGCCTTTTATCTTGAAAAAATATATTTGAGAGATAGAAACTGTATCCAGATTCTAAAAAAAATGCCATTTTTGTCTTGCCTGCGACGAAAGCGAGACATAGGGATTGCTTTTCCGGCAACAGCGTCAACAATAGTTAAGTTTTCTGCTTAAGTTAGTTTGATAGATCATTGATATTTTTGTATGAAGATGTCCATTGGCTTTGAATTAATTAGCAATTTTAAATGTTAAGTTTTCTGATTAAGTTAGATTGATAGGAACTACTGGTGATAGATCAATGATATTTTGTGTGAAGTTGCATTGCTATCAGTACATATCAGTTTGACGACTATTTCAAGGCCCTGCCCCCTAGATCACTGTTTAGTGACTTTCAATCAATTAACAAGTTAGTTTGATAGATACAACTTACAATAGACAATATTTTCTATGAAGATACATTGTTTTCTGTACATCTCAGTTTGTCAACCATTTCGAGGCCCTACCCACTAGTTGGTCAAGTTAAGGGCCATAATTGTATATTATTCTTTGATGAGTAAAACTTAACTGGAGATACAAATTGATATTATTTTGGGAAATATGATAAGATCAACTTTTTTTAGAGATCACAAAATCTAGTTGATTTGATATAATATCCAGTTTAATTATCTCCCCCTGAATTTAACAAATTTGTTCAAAGATATGAAATTATTTCACCTTTAGTGTTCTTTTTAAGGTAAATAATATGAATGCTGATTTATTCACATTTTTAACTGATCTTTAATATTTTGTAACCACTCTGATTATTTCCTTAGCTATGCTTGGCTTGGTTCTGTTTAAATATTTGCAAATATGAAAACATTTGATACTGAGAATTAGCTAAGCAAAAATTGCAAGACACCAGCTCCCTGGACTTGTGTCTCGCTTTGACAAGTAAAAAAGGAAGAGACTTGCGTGTACTGTTTCTGTCAGCTGCATCAACAATGTATTATGTTTGTGATTAGGCCAGTTTAAGGGGAACCATTAGTGGTAGATTAATTAGATTTGGTATGTAGATGTATTCGCATTGGCACATCTAATTTCCATGGAGATTATATTGCCATTTTAATTTCAACATTTGTATTATACTATTAAAATTACAAAAAAAAAAGGCGACATCTCTGTGTCAACAGTTTATTAGTTTGATCCTAAGTTTCAGTCTACCTTAAGTCTTTTATTTTAGACTTATATTGTTTAGTAATTGTAGTTGTTTTGTTTTTTTTATTGAAATGTTATTTGATTATAATGTTTTGTATTTATAGTTTTTTTTATATGTAGAAATGTTATTTTGTTATATTTTTTATTTAAGGTACATTTTGTGGTAGAAAACGGAGTTATTCCTCCATTCTGTGACTTACTCAGTGTAAAAGACACTCAAGTAGTTAATGTTGTTTTGGATGGTATAAATAATATTTTGAAAATGGCTGGAACTGAAGTGGATCATATTTGTCAGCTTATTGAAGAATGTCAAGGTAAGGAAATTGTAATAACTATTTGTTGAAATTTACGTTAAATGTGAAATCTACTAATGCCAAAATGAGAACACATTTAAACTATGTTTAAAGAACCTCATTTATATAAAGAAGATGTAGTATGATTACAGAGGAACAACTGAAATTCACTGTATGGTCTTCAACAATGAGCAAATAGTTGTATTGTAAATTAATCTAGAAAAAAGATCTTACATGACAATGTAAAATCAATTCAAAAGAGATGACCAACAGACACTATACAACAACAACAACCACTAGGTTACCAACTCTTGGCTTGGGACAGCCACATAGGAATGTGATGCTGAACACTCACTAATACAGCTCAACATATGAACAAACTGTATAAATCAGTTGGAAAGGGCTTGACTAATGAGATTTTGACTAAACACTTAAACAACTAATGTAAAGAAAAAAAGGTGATGTAAGAGTACATATACTCACTACAGATAATACTGAAGGCAAATTTAAAGCTGGACTTAAATATCAATCAGTACATTTTCTTTGTTATTCTGAATCTTTTGTCAGTGGACATTAAGCAAACAACAACACATTTGTTTGGAAGTCTGGACCAGTTATTGTCTGAATGACATATTTTACTTCAAGTATTTATAAACTAGTACCTAAATTTGAATGGTAATTATGGAACAATTTGATATACTGTGAGAAAACATACACTGATATTCATGCAATGACTGTTTTGTTGTGTAGCAAAAAATTTAAAATGACAAAAACATCATTTATACTTTGTTATGACATCATTTTAAAAATAGATTATTACATTGCTAAACAATGAATATATATATTGTTTGCTGGTATGCTATACTTCCATTTGTTTACTTGCAGGCTTAGATAAAATAGAAACTTTACAAAATCATGAGAATGAAGAGATATATAAACTAGCATATGATATAATTGATCAGTATTTCTCTGAAGATGTAAGTACTTTATTAGACTGTGGTTTTATCATCCCCCTGCCACAAATAGAAAAATTACAACCCTTTAAAAAAAAGATTTCAATCTTTCAAAAACTGTCCTGTAAAGCCAAACAGAAACAAGAAAATAAACAATACAATCTTGCAATAACAACAGGGTGGACTCGAGTATATGTCAGTAAGCAGATGGGGACGAAACATTTGAGCTGCGTCGGATAGAAATCGACCGTATGCAAATAAATATCGATACATCTGTTGACCTATTTCGGGTTAAAAACTTTTCTATGCAAAGTCTGTAACTGTTTGAAAATGGAGTTGATATAAGAATCCTTCATAACAGACCAAATATCTTCTTTCATTTCGTACTTAAATGTTCCAAAATCAATCAGTCTACATTTTTGGGGTCCTTTATAGCTTGCTGTTCGGTGTGAGCCAAATATATCTATTATACATGTACATGTATATTTGCACTTGCCTAAGGTCGATTTCTATCTTAGGCAGCTCATTTTTAACCGGATTGTGTGAATTATAAGTATATGAATATGAATAGCAATTTTGCAAGTTATCTCTCTAACGAAAACTCCTAAATTGAATCAAAGTAGAATTAAAGACCTCAAGCACAGGGATAATTTTTAGTCCCATATGACAATAATTGTAAATTGGAGAAAATGATGAAAGAGAGAGAAGTTCAGAGAAGGCTAGGATTTTGTCTGCTCTTGATTGATAATCCTGGTCATGTCTGCTCTTGAATGATACATTCGTGGGTTGAAGCTACATCCAAGTAATAAAAACTTGCATAGCTGATGATAAAAGACAAGACATCAGATGCAGATTTCCTGGATTTTCAATATGGGACAGTTCAAGATATATTTTCTGTGTTATTAAATTACAAATCATATTGAGTAAGCAAATTAATTGTACATTCATTTTTTTTTTTTTTTTTCAGTTTTAAACTTATGCAAGTAATTTTAAAATTTGGAAATTCATTTTGGGAGAGGGAAAAATTTGTTAAGGGTGTTTTTTATGTTTAAACTACCATGGATATTTAAAATCAACTACATAATATGACATAATTACGGGGTAATCTGAAGTAAGATGCTTACTAATGATGCAGAAAATGAGATTTGACTTTCAAGATTTACTGAGTATCTCTAGTAACTTTCTGTACATATCTCATGGAGTTCTCAGACTTTTGTCTGATCGAGCTTCAAGATCTGATTTTCTGTATTATTACATTGCAATTATTTAGAATAAAGAAAGTGATCAACTGTTTGCTATTATGAACCAGTTTTACAGTTTATTGGTTACTGCATTTAAATAATTTCAAGAAAGCAGTTATTTGAAAGCTGAGCCCTGACTGGGTTTTGTTTGAGAGTTTACCTTAAAAGATACATTTCATTTTTATCTCATTTGAATTGAAGTTTAGTTACTTCATTCAGGAAAATAGATATAAGCTTACTGTTTCTGGTGCCCTCAATTGAGTAAACTCTTGTTAAGGGATTAGGTTAGTGTAAAGGGAACCACTAATGGTAAGATCAATGATATTTTGTTGAAAATAATATTGGCAGCGATATCCATGGAGATTATTTGGCCCCGCCCCTCAGGCTTTGTCCAGTGACGGAAACTTTTGCATATATTACATGTTACAATATTTCCATTTAAATTTCAGCAATTGCATTATAAAGTTGCACACAGATGAGACCTCTCTCTGTGTCTGTTTATTTTTGAGTTCATACCATGGTTATTGTCAAGATAATTACAATTTGCTTTCAAAATTATTGTCATGATTGTACTATAAACCAAATGTTCTGTTACATTTATATAAGAAAATACCAGTACAGTACATGATGAAAAGTGAGGCAGACACTTACTTGGTTGATAGTGTGTATGTGATGTAAAGTTTAAGGTTATAAATGAACCCATGAGATTGTACTTGGATGATGGTGACTATGGAGGGGTGAAAACAACCATGATTGCCCTTGGAGGTCTACAAAGTTTGATGTGTATGAGTGATGTGTGAAAGTTATTCAATCATACCAGACATTTTTCTACAGCCAGATCATTGCTGAATGACAACGGAGTGCAACTGAAACAGTTATTAACTGTTGATGATTAAAATTGGAAGCTGTAGAATTCTGTCTGTGTGTCTGTCTCAGTGTTGCTCTCAGATTCTGTTTGATAGAGCATCATATTCTGATTTATCTGTAGTGGTATAATCTCTAAACATAAGATTTATATGTAGTGGAATAATCTCTAAACATAAGATTTATATGTAATGGAATAATCTCTAAACATAAGATTTATGTGTAGTGGAATAATCTCAAAACATAAGATTTATGTAGTGGAATAATCTGTAAACATAAAATTTATCTGTAGTGGAATAATCTCTAAACATAAGATTTATATGTAATGGAATAATCTCTAAACATAAGATTTATGTGTAGTGGAATAATCTCAAAACATAAGATTTATATGTAGTGGAATAATCTCTAAACATAAGATTTATATGTAGTGGAATAATCTCTAAACATAAGATTTATATGTAGTGGAATAATCTCTAAACATAAGATGCAACAAATTGGGTTAGATCTCTTTTGGCCATGAAATCTAGTTATCTGCATTCTACAAACATAAGGAAAACTATATTAAGTATTTCTTGCTTAGATCACATATTATTACATTTATACAATATGTAAAGCTCTGACTTGCCCCATGTCCAGACAAGTTAGTAATTAAAGCTCTGACTTGCCCCATGTCCAGACAAGTTAGTAATTAAAGCTCTGACTTGCCCCATGTCCAGACAAGTTAGTAATTAAAGCTCTGACTTGCCCCATGTCCAGACAAGTTAGTAATTAAAGCTCTGACTTGCCCCATGTCCAGACAAGTTAGTAATTAAAGCTCTGACTTGCCCCATGTCCAGACAAGTTAGTAATTTAAGCTCTGACTTGCCCCATGTCCAGACAAGTTAGTAATTGAAGTTGTATGTTTTCAGATTGAAGAAGATCCTAACCTTGCTCCAGAACAACAAAATAATGCTTTCCAGTTTGATCCTAATGCACAGGTACCTCAGGAAGGATTTAAGTTTTGACAGACCTATAGCCTGAATGAATACTTGTTTTACATGCTGTGATGTCAAAAACTTGTCTTATATTTCATCTATCAGCAGTAATGGAGAATTCAGAAAGTCAATGCCATGGCAGAAATTTTAAGTTAGACTCTGGAATTCTGTCATTTCCAATTAATATATCATGGTTTCCATAGCAACAGTTTAATGTTGCCAAAGAACTATGGTCATCAGAATTGCCTATGCTAGTGCTATTGATAGTATTTATTTACAATTCAGAAACAGTTCGGTTTTTTGGCTGAATAAAAAATGAAGTTCTTTTTTTTTATTATTTAATAAAATGCAGTCAAGTCTACTAGTCTAGATGCATAATTCTGATATGAATAGAAACAATATTCATAGATAAAAATATGTAGTATTTCAGAAGTTCTTATGGTCTAATGAATGCTTGAAAATACTGAAAACTTTATTTGTTTACACTTACACAGACTTGTAAATAAAGTGTATACTTATATGTAGTCATGTGTATAATTAAATGTGGATATTGTGGCTTTGTTTGACGTAAGAAAACATTCGGTCATTATTTACAACTGTTTGGTTTATTAATTTGCATGGTCACTTTTAAGAATATCATTCACAAAACAGTCTATAATTGAATATATATTTAAATATAATAGGGGAGGAGTATTAAATTTAATTTTGGAATGCATTACTCAATAGACATTCTTATCAGAACAGTTCTACCAGCATGTTAGTATTACCTATATAACATTTATTGCAAAGCTTTTTCAGGCCATTGTTTTGTACATCTGAATACAAGATAGATCAAAATGACACTTATACTACAATTGTTATTGTTTAAGTACTGGGAATTGATTTTTGTCGAGCCTGCGACTTTTGTCGCAGAAAGCTCGACATAGGGATAGCGATCCGGCGGCGGCGGCTACAGCGGCGGCGGCGGCGGCGGCGTTAGCTAACTTCTTAAAAGCTTTATATTTTAGAAGATGGGAGACCTGGATGCTTCATACTTTTTATATGGATGCCTCATGTTACGAAGTTTCCGTCAGTCACATGTCCAATGTCCTTGACCTCATTTTCATGGTTCAGTGACTACTTGAAAAAAAAGTTCAGATTTTTTGTAATGTTAAATTCTCTCTTATTATAAGTAATAGGATAACTATATTTGGTATGTGCGTACCTTGCAAGGTCCTCATGCCCGTCAGACAGTTTTCACTTGACCTCGACCTCATTTCATGGATCAGTGAACAAGGTTAAGTTTTCGTGGTCAAGTCCATATCTCAGATACTATAAGCAATAGGTCTAGTATATTCGGTGTATGGAAGGACTGTAAGGTGTACATGTCCAACTGGCAGGTGTCATCTGACCTTGACCTCATTTTCATGGTTCAGTGGTTATAGTTAAGTTTTTGTGTTTTGGTCTGTTTTTCTTATACTGTATGCAATAGGTCTACTATATTTGGTGTATGGAATGATTGTAAGGTGTACATGTCTAGCTGGCAGGTGTCATCTGACCTTGACCTCATTTTCATGGTTCAGTGGTCAAAGTTAAGTTTTTGAGTTTTGGTCTTTCTTTCTAATACTGCATGCAATAGGTCAGCTATATTTGGTGTATGGAATGATTGTAAGGTGTACATGTCTAGCTGGCAGGTGTCATCTTACCTTGACCTCATTTTCATGGTTCAGTGGTCAAAGTTAAGTTTTTGAGTTTTGGTCTTTTTTTCTAATACTATATGCAATAGTTCAACTATATTTGGTGTATGGAAATATTTTATGATCTATATGTCAGTCACGCAGGTTTTATTTGACCTTGACCTCATTTTCAAGGTTCATTGCTCAGTGTTAAGTTTTTGTGTTTTCGTCTGTTTTTCTTAAACTATAAGCAATAGGTCAACTATATTTGTTGTATGGAAGAATTGTTAGCTGTACATGCCTGCCTAGCATGGTTCATCTGACCTTGACCTCATTTTCATGGTTCATTGGTCAATGTTTAGTTTACTTGGTTAATGTTAAGTTTATGTGACAGTTGTAATAAAGCTTTATATTTAGGACTATCAACATAATATCAATGATTAGTAAAGAAGGCGAGACATTTCAGCGTGTGCACTCTTGTTCTTGTTAAATTATCGTGGAATTTTATACTTTATGATTATTTACAGTAGTGACGTAGTAGTATGAAAAAAAATTCCTATTGCTCAATTTTTGTTGTAGTTTATTGAATAGTCATAATTTCAGCAATATTTCTTAATTGTTGAGAAAAGACAGCTATTATGTTTTTTTCGTGCCATTAAAGATATTTTCAATGATGGGTATTTTATTTGTGTTCATTATTGCAGCTTTCAATAGCACTAAATACCTAATTTGAGACTTCAAGGTAACAAGTAAATAGTTATTATTTTATTATGTTTAAGTTATTACACATACACTTGAAAGGCTTGTACAAAGAAAACGAATTCAGTAATTTTTTATAGACCTATATTGGTATGACGTTGGCGTCGTCGTCGTCCGAAGACACATTGGTTTTTCGCACAATAACTTTAGTTTAAGTGAATGGATCTCTATGAAATTTTACCATAAGGTTCAATACCATAAAAGGAAGGTTGGGATTGATTTTGGGGGTTATGGTACCAACAGTTAAGGAATTAAGGGGCCCAAAATAAGCATTTTTGTAACTTCCAGGCAATAACTTGTGTGTTAGTGTATGGATCTCTCTGACATTGTACCACAAGGTTCCATATCACAAAGGGAATGCTGGTATTGATTTTGGGGGTAATTGCCTCAAAATTTTAGGAATTAGGGGCCAAAAAAGGGACAAAAAACAAGCATTTTTCTAGTTTCATGACAATAACTTGTGTGTAAGTGTATGGATCTTTCTGAAATTGTACTACAAGGTTCCATATCACAAAGGAAAAGCTGGAATTGAGTTTGGGGGTAATTGCCCAAAATGTTTAGGAATAAGGGGCCAAAAAGGGGCTAAAATAAGCATTTTTCTAGTTTCCAGACAATAACTTGTGTTCAAGTATATGAATCTCTCTGAAATTGTACTGCAAGGTACCATACCTCAAAGGGAAGGCTGGGATTGAGTTTGGGGGTGATGAATCATAAGGGGGTTCAAAAAATTGAGGGGGGGGGGGTTTCTTTTTTTTCCGGTTTTTTTTTTCTTTAAAATTTTCCATTTTAAGTTAGTTATCATTTATTTATATATAAAAGCAAATAATAATGATATGGTTTGATTTCATCAAAAATTGAAATATAGGGGTTCTTTGATATGCTGAATTTAACCGTGTATTTAGATTCTTAATTTTTGGTCTTGTTTTCAAATTGGTCTTCATTAAGGTCCAAAGGGTCCAAAATTAAACTTAGTTTGATTTTAACAAAAATTGAATTCTTGGGGTTCTTTGATATGCTGAATCTAACCGTGTATGTATTGAGATTTTGGATATTGGACCATAAGGTAAATTAAAAATTTTTAAGTTCTTGGACCACATTCATTCTGTGTCAGAAACCTATGCTGTGTCAAATATTTAATCACAATCCAAATCCAGAGCTGTATCAAGCTTGAATGTTGTGTCCATACTTGCCCCAACTGTTCAGGGTTCGACCTCTGCAGTCGTATCAAGCTGCGCCCAGCGGAGCATTTAATTACAATTTCTTGTTGATAAAACAGAAATTTAAGTAGCAAAAACATATCAATTTTTAAAGAGAGTTCTTCCATGTGTTCAAGAAAAGGCAAATTCAAGTCAAATTATTCAAAAAATTTTGTGATATTTACATGCATTCTATACTTTTGTACTTTTATCTGCAGGATATTCAATTTGTCTCATCTGGTAAAAGCTAATTTTTTTATTACCATGTGCAGATCAGCTATTGTAGTTGCTTTCAAAATTTCATAGAAATGTTTGAGATTGCTTTTTTTCATCTGTTGCCTTAACCTGAATTTTGACTGATTATATTTAATTGTACATTAATAACCTTAAACATGATATATATATTTATGATATATAATTGAAAAAATGTTTTTGGTTAACACACATTATTTTGTGTAGTGTTCCATATTTTTTGCTTGTAATGATATCTAAGTGTACTCTTATTTAAGGGGGTACAGAACACCTAAGGTAGTTAACTTTTCAAAAATCAGCTGAACATTTTAATACTATTTGTTTTAATTTTTATTTATTTATACCCCACATCTTCATTATTTCATAAGATTTCAGGCAAGTTTTCAAAGTAAAATTAACTGATTACATAATTAATATAAAGATAGTTTAGTCAGAATTAATGTGCATTCATCAATAGGGATACTAACATTCAAGGATTTCTATGATGATAGTAAACTAGGAATTTTTAGAGTTTTCTGTAAGCTTGTATACACAATTTGTTAGTACATGTAAACCAAAAAATCCAGTATCCACGAAAATATAATTTTTCCTTAATCCACGGAAGTGGAACCCACCAAAATACCTGATTCCACAGTATATCAATCATCAGGAAAGCTACTGTGTCTTTCATTAACCTTCAGCAAGCATTTATTGTTTGTTATTAGAATGTGCTTTCAGTTACCACTCATATAAAGGTTCTGTCTGGTTTTGGTTTACCGGTATGTATATATTGTTGATAATTAGCTCATCAATTAGAACAATTGTCATACTTCAAGAAGACTTAATACAGATCTCAGAAGCAGTAATGCATTTTTATGTATGATTTCAATGATTTTTAAGAAGCTTGGGTTGTCTGTCAAATTATAAAGAAGCTTCTCTAGACCTCAAGCAACAGTTGTGGAAGACAATATATTGACCTCTAGATGTTGTCTGAATTTGGGTTGCTGTCTCACTGACATCATAACCCACATCTATAAAATACTTGTTTACTTTGCTGGATAAGTAGCTTTTTACCCAATAGAAATACTTGTATTTATTGTAAAATGTTTGTTCCACTGTGTAATTCAGATATTTTCGTGTATATTATTACAATGTAATGTTGTGTTTAATATTAATTAATTCTGCCTATCATTACAGATCTATTTCACTGTATCATTAGTGCAGATTATTTCCTTTTACGAGTCGTTTAAGTCCATGGAACAAGTGCTTTCTTGTGACAAGTTTGTTATATCTGATCACAAATGTCTAGGTCAGATCTAGAGAGCTTATTTACTGCATGGCTTTTCTTCTTCTTTAATACAAATTTTGTGAAAATGATTTAAGTTTATTTATATTTTTTAGATTCATTTGGGAAAGCCTTATTCCTTTCCCTGATTGTGAAGATTTTAATTCAGTATTGTTCTCACATTAACATGTATATAACAAAATAAGTAGCCCATTGTATGGCAGTATAAATGAATTATTTAATGTTGATTATATTAATACAGTGTTTTCCAGAATTCCTCTGTTTTATGCTAAATTTGATTTATTCGTTGCTTACTTTAATTTGAAGAATATTGCAATTTATGATAAAAAAAATAATTTTTTGTGTTTTTCCATTCCATTATTGTTGAAACAAAAAATTAGCAGAACTATCTTCATGCAGAATATTTATCAATTTTATCAATGAGTATTAATATAGAAGTCTTTTTTTTAAGACGAGAAATAATGGAGATTGTACCTGCTTATGATAAACTATTAACACTATGTGGCCATTGGTTGGTGATATAGTTCATGAGTGAGAAGTCTTGTGATGTATAATGCCTTGTAAATATTGTAGACAAAAAAAGTGGGCCATTTTAACTATGTAACATATGTATATAATGTGGTAGCAACTAAAAGTTGCTATAAATTTAGGCTAGTTTATTTGAAATATCCTTTGATGGATTCATATGTGTATATGGATTTTAATAAATCCTGTATTTTATATTAAGTAAAGCTGCACTGCCAAATTTTTAAAGTTATGAACTGAATGTTAAGATGGCCCTCTATCTCTGTAATTATTGTGTAAAGGTTTTCATTGTTGCCAGTCAGTTAATGGCTATTTATAATACTGGCTCACAAGGTCAGAACTTTTTTATGCAAGATTGTTGAATATTTAAAAAAATGAAAATTATTGTTTTGAAATATATTTGTTTTTGTCATTGGAAACCAGTTGCATCACAGTATTCTAAGTTTTTTATTTAGTAGGTTTAGGAAACTATTTTTTTTTCTCAGAATTTCAATGAAATTTGCAATGCTTTTATGCCAATTTAAATTCTAACTGGTATATAAATGGTGCTAAGAGAATTACTAGCAATAGTTTTCCATGATAAAACACAGATATATTTCAATTGAAACATGTTGTTTTGCAGCAGCCTGCAATAAATGAAACCAACAATAAATACAAAATGTACCAGTCTTCATGTGTAGCATGAGAACTGGTGCCTATCTATTTATCTTTTATTTGTTTATTTGCCACAGCCAATTTTAATTTCTGTTTTGATATAAGCAGCTTTGTGTCATTGGTTGCTATCTCATTGGTGTATCCTCCATACCTCTTTTACTCCTGTAATTCATTGTTATATAGTATTTATACATCTATAAAGTCAGGAACATTTATTTGCAATTGGAAGACTAGATCTGAAGTTGTATTCTGCACATTTCATTTCATATATCTTTAGTTTGCATTGGCTTGATTTACATAATCTAAGGGCCACTAACATCAAGCTCCATTTCAGTAATAAATTAATTTTGTTTCCACACTTGAACTTCTCACTATGTCCGATCATCAATCAAATTTCCTTTTCCAAATTATTTGAAATTTTGTCAAAATAGGACTTAAGTATGTTAAAGCTTCCTTTTGAAATTTGATTTATCTGGTCAAATACATGTCTGTGGTGTATGGAATAATTATAAGGTGTACATGTCAGTCTGGTATTTTTCATCTCACTTTGACCTCATTTTCATGATTCATTGGTCAATGTTAAGTCGAGTGTGGGAGGTCATGGGTTTGAACACCGGCCAGGTCAAACCAAAGACTTTAAAGATGGTATTTGCTGCTTCTCCGCTAAGCACGCGGCATCAAGGAGTAAGAGCAAAGACTGGTCGGCTTGGAGTCGAAATAATGTGTCCGGGTAAGGTGTCATGTCTTCCTGTGGACTGTTACCTTGTGAATTAGCATGTTAACAATCCAGCTTAGTGTGTTGGTCTAGTACAAAGCAGGGTTAATATTCATATTACATTAACATGTTCTCGTCCTGACTATGCATATCAATTTGCCACTGGACGTTAAGCAGCCATCCATCATTATCAGTGTTCAGTTTATCATGGTTTGGTCTGTTTCATTTATAATATAAACATTAGGCCTACTATATACATGTATGTGTTGCATGGAATGATTTATCTGACATTGACCTTATTGTCATTGATCATTGCTAATACTGTAAATTCAGAAATTATTGCGTGCATTTATTATTGTGTTTTTGTCATTTTAGACGAAAATGCGATTTTAATTTTTGCGATATTGAGAAAAATCCTGTTTTAATTCATATGAAAAATTTCAAAATGCGAGTTTAAATTATTGCGATCATAACTGTGTCGAATTTTTCGCAATAATTTCTGAATTTACAGTATTGAGTTAACATGATACTTGTAGTAATACCTTTATATTTTTATGCTCCCACTGTAGTCTGTCCGTACGTACGTACGTACATACGTCTGTACGTCCCAAAATTGGTTTCTGTTCTCTAACTTGAGTTTGCCACAACCAAATGTTATGAAACTTATACACAAAGCTTATTACCACAAAACACAGATCAAGTTTGAATTTTGGTGGCGTCACTTAAACTGTTCTGGAGTTTTTCCCCTTTATAAATGGAAAAATTGCTAAATTTTTAGTTCTGTTCTCTAACTTAAGTTTGCCTCAACCAAATGTTATGAAACTTATACACAATGCTTATTACCACAAAATACAGATCAATTTTGAATTTTGGTGGCGTCACTTTAACCATTCTAGAGTTATGCCCCTTTATGAATGGAACAATTTCAAAATTTTTAATTTCCGTTCTCTTAACTTGAGTTTGCCTCAACCAAATGTTATGAAACTTATACACAATGCTTTTTACCACAAAATACAGCTCAAGTTGAATTTGGTGGCGTCACTTTAATCATTATCGAGTTATGCCCCTTTATAAATCTGAAAATTGCAAAATTTTTAGTTTCTGTACTGTTACTTAAGTTTGTCCCAACCAAACATTATGAAACCTATACACAATACTTATTACCACAAGATCAAGTACAAATTTGGGTAGCGTCACTTGAGTTCTTGAGTTATGTCCCTTTATAATGTATGCAAGTGGGGGCATCATCTGTGTCCATGGGAACACATTCTCCATTTCTTAAACTTTCAACATAATATCAATCATGGTCAGTAAAACAGGCTAGACATTTCAGTGTGTGCACTCTTGTTCATTATTTATATTTCCAGTGTAAACATTAGTTTCAATATTTAAAACGTCTGGGTTTTTATACGACCGCAAAAATATTTTTTGCATCATATAATGCTATGATGTCGTCGTCGTCCGAAGACACATTTGGTTTCCGGACAATAACTTTAGTTTAAGTGAATGGATCTCTATGAATTTTTACCAAAAGGTTCCAATACCACAAAAGGAAGGTTTCCGTTGATTTTGGGAGTGATGGTACCAACAGATTAGGAATTAGAGGCCAAAAACAAGCATTTTTGTAGTTTCCGGACAATAATTTGTGTGTAAGTGTATGGATCTCTCTGAAATTGTACCACAAGGTTCCATATCACAAAGGGAAGGCTGGGGTTGATTGCCCCAAACGTTCAGGAATAACAGGCAAAAAAGGGGCCAAAAACAAGCATTTTTCAAGTTTCCAGACAATAACTTGTGTTTAAGTGTATGGATCTCTCTAAATTGTACTACAAGGTTCCATACCATAAAGGGAAGGCTGGGATTGAGATTGGGGGTAATTACTCCAAAAAGGGGAGGGAGTTTTTTTTTTCCAATTTTTTTTTTGGGGGGGTTCTTTTTTTTTCTTCAAAATTTTTGAAATCTCCAATTGCACAGTATTTTCCAATAGCACAGTATTGTACAGTAGCCCCATTTTTAAATTGGTCTACATTGAGTTGAAAGGGTCCAAAATTAAACTTTGTTTGATTTCATCAAAAACTGAATTATTGCGACTATGATTTGCTGAATCTTATTGTGCATTTAGATTTTTATTTTGGGCCCTGTTTTCAAATTAGTTCATATTAAGGTTTGAAGGGTCCAAAAACTGTTTGATTTCAACTAAAATTAAATTATTGGTGTTTTTTTATATGCTGAATCTATCCATGTTGTTAGATTTTGGATATCAGACCATTCTAGGTAAATTAAATGTCCCATTTCAAATTTTAAAGATCCTTGACCAAATTTATTTTGTGTCAGAAACCTATATTATGTCAAAAATTTGATCACAATCCAAATTCAGACTGTATCAAGCTTGAATATTGTATCCAAACTTGCCCCAACTGTTCAGGGTTCGACCTCTGCGGTCGTATCAGGCTGCGCTCAGCAAAGCATTTTATTTTTTTGTATAAACATTATCGTATAAAGAAAACATAAATCGAGTATAAAAATTACAAAGCTTTATATACGGTATACTATTTAATAAATTGACAATTTCAAATATATAGACAGCTCCCCTCTGCTTTAATTGGTTTTGGTCCCAGAGTGTCATAACATCATCAACAACATCAAAAACCATTACGATAACAAAGAACTCGAAGCACATCTCCTTATTTTCATATCATAAACTACTAGATGATTTGCATTGCTAAAAGGCAATGGATTAGCCAGATCTTGGAGCAAGCATATGACCTAGCTGCCTTCTGCCTCTACGTATTGTCTATTGGCATCTGTCCCTCTTTTGTTATCTCTTTAAACGGCTTCGGTCAATGTCCTTAGTGTAAAAGAAAGTAAAGAGAGAATGTAGAAATAAAATAATTTCAAACAATAAACGATTGTGTATTTCACAAAATGTCCTGACCTTGTGTTTTGTTTCCTCCCTTTGGGACATTGTGCACATTTTAAGAAGCATTCCTTAGTTTGTAAATGTTATTTAGTCTACTCATGTGGTGCTTTCGTTTCTCTTGCCGGAAAAATTTCAGGTGAATAGAAAAAAAAACTTCTGGTGGTTCCATGAATGATTCTACATAATGTTGTAAAACATGGCATCCCCACTGTCATTGCATACAGATAATACTTATTTGTTTTTATTGTAACATACAGGGATCGGATGATTCAGACCGTCAGATTCAGTAAGTAACATCTTACTAACCTTTCCATCATTCTGTATAATAAATAAATTGTTAGACACCAGTCCTGCGACAAACACATTATGGATATTGTCGACTGATATTCCTCTCGGACAAACCAGGTATTTGTCACTGAATACCCAGATCTCATCCCCTGTCATACTACAGCAGTGGACTGTATTTTCTACATAGTCTGTGTAGTAGATCCTGTCCTTGACTGCAGCAATATCGAAACAGGAAACGTTACACTTTATTGTATTCAACATCTTTCCCGATGTATCCATCACTACTATTCCTTCACTTTCTACTAGTACGTAGATTCTATTATCATGACATGAAAGGCCCCAACATGACCCTTTGATATCTGTTGTTTTAATGACTGTACCATTTTCGATGTTTAAAATATCCATGCGTTTGGATTCACCATGAGAAACAGCAATACTTTCACCATCTATTACAGTCACATCATACGCCATACCAGAGACGGGTATGTTCCGGATGTGTTGTCCTATATCATTACATTCTATAAGTACTTTGTCACTCGTGTAATTTGCTATCAATACATGACCGTTTGGTAAAGTCGTTGCTCCTGTGATTTCCAAGTTCTTGATTTGTTCTTTAAGTGAAAACTTACTTCGAAAATTAAATGTGGTATTGTGAACTGACCGTACGGGTTTATATAGTTGTGTCTGCGCTTGATCAATGTTTTTAAACACAAACGGTGTACTGACAGCGTTTTCTTGAACTTTTATTTGTCCAAAGGAGTTGATGTTCTCTAACAATGAGGTTAGTTCTTGGTTTACCTCTATTTCTACTTTGTATTTACGTACAGAACTCAACGACATCTTGACAGATTCTATTTCTTCGTGGACTTTTTTATCAATCTGACGCGTACCAAGAAATACTTGGCTGTCGGAGTCGAAACGTTTCAGTTGGACTGTTTGTTTTTTAAGTCGTTTAATTTCATCATTCGTTCTGCTTAATTTTGTAATAAACTCTACGTTTTTCGTCTTATAGTTTTTACATGTTTCTGACAACTTGGTAAGCAGTTTTTCTTCAAGTTCGTCCATACGTTTGTTTACTGTAAATCGTATATTTTGCACCGATTTCTTAACGCTCTTTTCTTGTTCCTCGATATTCGTGGAGACCATTCCACAATCTTCGATAACACGTTGTAGCTTTTCTAAAGCTCCGTCAATTGAAGCTGATACACCATCAAGAGCTGTTGATGTCTTAGCGTTTGTTGCTGCCTCTTCTAGAGGGATAATAAAGTCAGAACAGTTCTCATGGTATGATGTTAAGCAGGTCTTACAAATTGCCACATCGTGCGTCCTACAGAAACTTTCAAGGTCACTTCCATGCTCATCGCACGCTGTTTTTATCGTAATATTCTCCCCTATTCTGTTATCTTCCATCGATATTAATGTGTCGTCCGTAGACTCCTTCCTAGATTTGTGGAATGGTTCTTGGTCTTTCCAGAAACGTTGGTTCACATTTCACACCACGTTCGTCTTTATTTCCATGGCAACAAGGACCAAATTGAATGACCTACAACATATAATATCGCATACATCAGTGCGGGAGTTTATGTCAAGTCATAATTTTAAAATGTAAGGGATAACCATAATCTACTTTTATTTCCATGGTAATCATTGAATGGAGATCCATAAATGTGCCTTTCAGGGTGGGAATTATTTATTTTTTAGGCTTACTCCAATCTATTTTGTAATATTCGTTTTTTACGATTTGGGCCAGAATTTGGTTCTTCTATAAGTATTTTTGTTATTGAGGTGGTACGGGACTAGCTGCAATACAACATTAAAAGATACCAACTTTAATTTGAGGAAATCATACAAATGTCTCTGTAGTGTATACGAGCAATTTCATATTATTTTATTTAACACCAGGGCAACTTCAAAGTTTTCTTATACAAACTAAAATTTCTCAAATTTGTACACGATTAGCAATTGTTAAAAGCTGCAATTTTGGTGGACTTTATAATATTTCAGTAAGTATCGCAAATACCAATCTAATTAAAATATAGATCTGTGATTTCGTTATGCTCATATGACGAGCACGCGAGTTCTGGTAGATCTGAATTTTAATCAGATTGCGCAAAAACGAATAAGAAGGAATTGCTTAACCCACAGGCATATAAACAGTATAATAATATACGTCTCTGTTTAACCCAAATTCAAATTCTAATTGGAAGAATCTTTGTTTTACATTATGTCTCTTATTAGGGTGTTCTTCAAAGCAAACTTATATTTAATCTACTAGACTATAAGACTATAGAAAAGTTTTTTGTTGTTGTTGTTTTGTTTGCTTTTCACTTTTCAGTCTACTCCTATATGAAAACTGTCTTTAACAACACTGTAAGCACTAAATGACATTTAGATTCTATTGATATGTGTAAAATTATTGATTATTTCTCATTTATAGAATCTTATGATATTTCAATGCCGGAAGGGTTTTGAAAACTCTAGATTTTCCCTTGCGAGTGAAAGAAGTTCAAGAGATTCGAGGGATTGACTATACTTCTTTCCATACCAATTTTCATATTTTATTCAAGTGCTCAAAAAACTTTCAATCATCGCATTAAATTGAATGATAAAATATTTAAAACTAGTCTGTAATAAGTATATGTGTTGTTTATAATAAAATATACTTCATTACCCCTAATGATTAACCGTCGATTGTCCATGGAAAAATGAAAAAATACATATATCAACTAGTGAACCAGAAGTAACCCATGATGTCAAATGAATACATGAATAAACAACGAAATAAATATTAAAACATACCATTCATTTCCCATCCTAACCATTCTTATACAAGATCAAACATGTTTGGAGACGTGTGTAATTTCTATACATAATAAAACGGAATAATAACCTACCATAACAAATTAACTCATTCCATCAAAATAAAGTACACGTCAATCTACATACATTCACCCTGATCTCACCAAATGTTTATTTAATACATCACTGCCAGATACTAAAAAATAAAGGTACATACAATACTGAAACTAGATTTTAACACAGGTAATGCATAAAAAAGAGTAACAATGCTTGCTATATTTAAATATGAATAAAAATGTACAGATATACCGATATACTGTCAATGTTATTTGAAGGATAAACATTTATCTTGGTATCTAACCTATTTATTCGGAAGTTCACAAAGTTAACTAAAATCTGGTGGACAGTTGTCTAATTGACAATCATAACACATCTCCTTATTTTTTATACGCCCGCAAAATATTTTGCGGTCGTATATTGGTATCACGTCATCGTCGTCGTCGTCGTCGTCTGCGTCGTCCGAAGACATTTGGTTTCCATACAATAACTTTAGTATATGTAAATAGAAATCTATGAACTTTGAACACAAGGTTTATAACCACAAAAGGAAGGTTGGGATTGAATTTGGGGGTTATGGTCTTAACAGTTTAGGAATGAGGGGCCAAAAAGGGGCCCAAATAAGCATTTTTATGTTATGTTTGGATTACCTCCCTTACACTGCTTTTAAATTATGTTTAAAGAAATGTTGTATTGTCTTGAGGTGATTAGCTGTCAATTTATTTTTAGAAGTTACTATTAAAAATGCTGATTAAGGAATGTTAATTTTAGCCATGATTATGTATGTCATTTTCTATTTTAAGACTTGTATGATGTATTTAAATGGGTAATTATGGTTGCAAACTCCATTGGAAATCTGAATTGAGATTATGACCATATCTTGAGGGAAAGATTTTTTTTTAAAGGGGGGAGGTGAAAAAAAATTGGGGGGGGGGGGGGTAAAAAAGAAATTGGGGGGGGGGGGGCAATTTTTTCTCATTTCAGATTTCAGAAATTAAAAAGAAAATTTCTTCAAATATTATTTTTTTTTTGCAAAAAAAGAGGGGTACAAAATAATTTTTTTTTGGGGGGGGGGGGTCAATTCGCAACAGCATAGTGTATTGCACAAAAGCAAAAAAAAAAGGGGGGTACAATTTTTTTTTTTTGGGAGGGGTTCAATTCGCAACAGCATAGTGTATTGCACAAAAGCAAAAAATTCAAATCATATAACCAATTCTAAGTTCTTTGACTACAGTTATTCTGTGTCAGAAACCTATTATGTGTCAAATATTTAATTACAATCCAAATTCAGACCTGTATCAAGCGCGAATTTTGTGTCCATTTTTGCCCCAACTGTTCAGGGTTGGACCTCTGCGGTCGTATCCAGCTGTGCTCGGCGAAGCAATTTATTTTATAATGAATACACATGCGTGTAAATCGGTAATGTTAAAATATCAGATCTCGGGGTAATGATATCTCTGAATCGAAGTATTTCCAAATTTTAGCGCTCATATCAAAAGAAACGTGAAATTTTCGTCGCGCCCTCTTCTTAGAAACTACACATCATAGCTCCATAAACTTGGTGAGCATAATATACCATGTGATGCGTTTTCATATCAATCGCTCAATTTCTGGTTACTAAACATGATGGCCATGAAAGAAATGTTCGTCGCATTCCTATCAGGAACTACGATCAACTACGAATTACAGCTTCCTGGGCATCAAGCTTTATGTGAGCAAGCTTTTTAGTATGTTGAGTTTCCATACAATCGCTCATCAGTTCCTGTTTACTTAATATTCCTATGACGTGTATCATTAGTGAGCAATAGCTAATAGTCCATGTTGTTTGAAAAATAGTGTGGCTAGGTTAAGAATTACCAGTCTGTTAATTGGTGTATCAGGGACATTTGAAACAAGGATCGGATCTGGTTGTAAAACCTCTTACAAATGTGTGCATACTGGTGGCATAATCAACAACCGAAAGAAAAATACTTATTCTCATTTTAGTCATTTTCTCTTTTAGCCCAATAAAATCAAACGTTTCATCTGTATCTGGTATTTTCCCTAGTGAAAACTCCCGCGGCCTTATCCATATTGCAGTGGTTTTCTAGTAAAACACTACGCGACCTGAAAGATCTACCAAAACTGAAAATGAAAATGATACTTAAGTGATAACAAAGTTTGACATTATTCTATATATCATCTAAGTTTTCCATCGATACTTCACTTGTATGTAATTTTCATTGCCTTGTGTTGGAATCCAGATAATATATCTGATCATTTAGGCTGTGCTAGCTATATATCCAGATAATATATCTGATCGTTTGGGCTGTGCTAGCTATATATCCAGATAATATATCTGATCGTTTGGGCTGTGCTAGCTATATATCCAGATAATATATCTGATCGTTTGGGCTGTGCTAGCTATATATCCAGATAATATCTCTGATCGTTTGGGCTGTGCTAGCTATATATCCAGATAATATCTCTGATCGTTTGGGCTGTGCTGGCTATATATCCAGATAATATATCTCATCGTTTGGGCTGTGCTAGCTATATATATGGAATCCATAATATGATATCTCTTATTACACTGGTTGCAATGAATTACCGTGATTTCCCAGTGAAATAAAAACCGATAATTTCACATGTGAAATAAACGCGGATATTTCGCTCATCTGACGTCAAACAACAATAGGTGTTGTCAAGACGTTGTCGATAGTTCCTTACATTTTCTAATTTAATTTCATCAAAAAGCCCTTTGTCAATGTAATAAAAAGAATAAATAATCAAAGAATTCAAATATAATAAAGTTTATGTAAGCAGCTAAAATATATATATTTTATTAGGATAAAAATGAACTTGAATAACGAGAATGTAAACAGTAAGTTTGTGCGCATGTGTCAAACATATTTTGTGCTAATTAGAACACGGCTTTGTTTACAAAAGCCTAATAAGGACGTCATATTAGAATTTGCTTTATTTGTATTCTTCGATTAGTTATTCTATAATTTTATCGTTTAGGTTGTGCTAGCTATATATCAAGATAATATCTCTGATCGCTTGGGCTGTGCTAGCTATAAATATGGAATCCAGATAATATTTCTGATCGTTTGGGCCGCTGTGCTAGCTATATATATGGAATCCAGATAATATCTCTTATCGCTTAGGCTGTGCTGGCTATATATTTGCTGTATGGTATACTACCTTATCGTTTAGGCTGTGCTAGCTATATATATGCAGAACATCACCATCAAGGAAAGAAGCATTAATAATAGGAACGGAAAAGTTTTCTCGTTTATCATAAAATTTCTGTGTCTCACCTGCATCTCAGTTTAAAGTCTAATGATGACTATAAAAAAATATAAGTCTATTTTACATTATGAAGAAGAAAAAATTGTTTAACACGAGTGCACACGCTGGAATGTCTTACCTGCTTTACTCATCATGATTGATTTTATATTGGAAGTCTTAGTTAAAGGTTTAACTAGAAGTATGACAAACACTGTACATTGTCAATGATCCATGTAAAAACGCAAGTCAGACATGTACACCTTACAATCATTCCAAACACCAAATATAGCAGACCTATTGCTTAATGTATCTGAGAAATAGACTTAACCAGGAATAATTAACAATGACTAATGAACAATGAAAATAAGGTCAAGGTCAGATGAAACATGTCAGACTGACATGTACACCTAACAATCATTCCATACACTAATAAAATTGAGAATGGAAATGGGGAATGTGCCAAAGAGACAACAACCCGACCATATTTGATCTATTGTTTATAGTAACTGACTAAAGGACAAAACTACATTAACCAATGAACCATGAAAACGAGGTGAAGGACACATAATACCTGCCAGATAGACATTAACACCTTATACACCAAAAACAATTGACCTATTGGCTATAGTATTTGAGGAACAGACAAAAATACCAAATTTTAACATTGATGAAAGAACCATGATAATGAGGTCAAAGTCAAATGAAACCTGCTAGACGGAAATGTTTACCTTACAATCCTTCCATAAACCAAATACAGTTGAGCTACTGCTTATAATATCAGAGAAAAGGACCTAACCACGTCTGTCACATGTCCATTGTCCTTGACCTCATTTTCATGGTTCAGTGACTACTTGAAAAAAAGTAAAGATTTTTTGTAATGTTAATTTCTCTCTTATGAGTAATAGGATAACTATTTTTTGTATGTGCGTACCTTGCAAGGTCCTCATGCACGTCAGACAGTTTTCACTTGACCTCAACCTCATTTCATGGATCAGAGAACAAGGTTTAGTTTTGGTGGTCAAGTCCATATCTCAGATACTATAAGCAATAGGTCTAGTATATTTGGTGTATGGAAGGATTGTAAGGTGTACATGTCCAACTGACAGGTGTCATCTGAACTTGACCTCATTTTTATGGTTCAGTGGTTATAGTTAAGTTTTTGTGTTTTGGTCTGTTTTTCTTATACTGTATGCAATAGGTCTACTATATTTGGTGTATGGAATGATTGTAAGGTGTACATGTACAACTGGCAGGTGTCATCTGACCTTGACCTCATTTTCATGGTTCAGTGGTCAAAGTTAAGTTTTTGAGTTTTGGGCTTTTTTTCTAATACTATATGCAATAGGTTAACTATATTTGGTGTATGGAAATATTTTATGATGTGCATGTCAGTCTCGCAGGTTTTATTTGACCTTGACCTCATTTTCACGGTTCTTTGCTCAGTGTTAAGTTTTTGTGTTTTGTTCTTTTTTCTTAAACTATAAGCAATAGGTCAACTATATTTGTTGTATGGAAGGATTGTAAGCTGTATATGTCTGTCTGGCAGGTATCATCTGACCTTGACCTCATTTTGGTGGTTCATTGGTCAATGTTAAGTTTTCATGGTTAAGTTTGTTTCTTAGATTCTATAAGCAAAAGGTCAACTATATTTAATGCATAGATTATATGTAAGGTGTACATGTCTTCCTGGCATGGTTGATCTGACCTTGACCTCATTTTCATGGTTCATTGGTCAATGTTTAGTTTTATTTGTTAAGTCTGTATCTAAGAAACGGTGGCAAATAGCTATAGGTCAACTATATTTAGTGTATTGAATGATTGTCAGGTGTACATGTATTTCTCGTTTGCTTTATCTGACTTTGACCTCATTTTCTTGGATCATGTTACGTTTATGTGATAGTTGTAGT